GGAAACCTTCACGGGATCCATCTCGATCTTACCCTCAGAGATGACAACTCCGAGATACTCCACCTTGGTCTGCTCGAAGTCGCACTTGTCCGCTCAGAGGAAGAGCTTGTTCCGCTGGAGGATCTCTAGGACTCGCTTGAGAACCCAGCAATGCTCTTCGCGCGTCTTGGTGTAGATCAGAATGTCATCCAGATAGATAATGACCACACCTTCCGTAATGAGCTCCCGGAAGAGGTCGTTCATCATGGTCTGGAAGGTGGATGGGCTATTCGTTAGTCCGAAGAACATTACCAACGGTTCGAAGAGTCCGCGCGTAGTCCGGAACGCGGCCTTCCACTCGTCGCCCTCCTTGATCCGGACGTTGTTGAAACCCCACCGGACGTCGAGCTTGGAGAAGTAGCGAGCGTTCCGGAGTTTATCCACCAAGTCCGAGATGAGCGGAAGTGGGTACCGATTCTTGACCGTCATGCTGTTGAGCTTCCGGTAGTCCTGGACCAAGCGGAGCGATCCGTCCTTCTTCTTAACAAAGAACACCGGGGCAGCCATGGGCGACTTGCTGGGGCGGATCCGACCAGTCCGGAGATTTTCTTCCAGAAACTCGTCCAGCTGTTTCTGCTCCGAGGGGGACAGCGGGTAGCATTTGGTAGAGGTCGGTTCCGCTCCGTCCATTAGCTCAATGGCGTGATCCCACGGACGCGGCATGGGCAGTTCATCAAAGGACTCCTTGGCGAAGACGTCCTCGAATTCTCGGAGGAAGTCCGGGACTGCGCTGTTCCGAGGATCGTGGGGCTTGTTGCGCTGGAAAGCCAATGTGAGGCGCTGCGAGACCGTCTCCGAAGCCCGGATATGTCCTTCCCGAAGACTCCGAAGGTACTCCGGAGTCGGAGGAGGAATAGCCACGAAGATACGGTCACCCCTCTCAAGTCTGGAGTCGTCCGGAGTTGTGACATTGTCATCCTCGTCGTCGACCTCGCAGTCCTGAAGCTGCGGGAGATCGTCCGAGTGCAGTTCCTTGACCATTGGCATCGGACCCGTACGACACTCCCGGAGTCGTATGGACTCCTTGCGTCGGGTCAGCTTGTCATGGCGGAACTCCTTCCGACAGGTATCGCATCCGGACGGACAGCGGCTCATAGTCACCTCCTTCGTCTGCCAGTCGATCTCGGGGTTGTGCTTCCGAAGCCAGGTGTATCCGAGGATGATGTCCTGGCGTCCGATGTTAGTGACCGCGAACAGCATCCGTTCCGTGTGATCCTTGAACCGGAGTACAAGGTCCACGACTTCGGAGATGGATCCGTTTTCGTTTGGTGATCCGTCGACATTGAAGACTGGGATCGGAGCGGACAGCTTGCGCCGGGTGAAACCATGAGCATCCGCAAAGCGCGGATGCATAAAGACTCCGGTGGCTCCGCAGTCCACCAGGGCCTGCAGGGTGCATCTGTGTTGTGTATCCGTGCTCTGCACTTCAATGGGTATATCTAGCGAAAGCTTGCCGGGCAGCGCGGAGATCTTATAGCTACTGGGTAGCCGCTGTTCCCAGTGCGGGCGAAACCTTCGGAGTGTGCGGATTGTAACCGGAGTCGTTTGCTTAGCGTCGGACGAATCATCAGAGTGATAGGAATCGTCTATTTCGTCTACGCTAAGACAAGCAAATCGGTTATTTACCAACGAGGTCGCACTGATCACTCGTTGGTCCGGACAAAATCCGCCGTGTCCGATTCCTCAACCGGGGCCGTTCCCTCATCGTCTATTCCTTCCGAAGTCCCCGTACTTTCTACAACGTCGGCCGCGGTCAAGAGATCTTCAATGGCGGACATCCGCTCCTCGGTGGTCATGAACCGGACGTCGTACCGGAGTGGGCACTCGCGGGACATGTGGCCGGGCTTGCCGCATCGGTAGCAGAGCTGTGAAGCGGCGGGCCGGGAGCGGGTGTGGTCGACGTCCATGGGGACGCCGGGTGAGAGAGCCTTCGGAGGAGGCGGAAGTTGGAAGCGGGGTTGCAGAGGCGGGAGCTGAGTCCAAGGCGTGGGGAGTACACCCGCAGGAGTCCAAGCAACTCCGGAGCTGGCTGCTGGTCGGACGAGGGATCCGGAGTGTCCGGAGTTTCCGGAGTGCACGCCAAAGTGGAAGGATTGGTTAGCAGCACGGTTGTCAGCAACCCGCTGTGCTGCCTTGTACCATTCCTCGAAGTCATCCTCGTCCGGACAGTCTGCGGACTCGGCAACACGGCTCTGGATGATGGAGTCCAATCCGCGGCGGAACTTCATCGTGATGTTGGAGCCCTCAGTGTATCCGGACTGGTCTACAAGGTCCCGGAACTCGTCGAGGTACTCCTGGAAAGTCCGACGCCCTTGGTGGTACCGGGTGGACTCCAGTTTTAGCATGGCGGCTTCGCGTTCCCAATCCGGAAGGAAGCAAGTCCGGAACTCGGTTGCGAAGGCGGCCCAGGACGCAAAGTATGGATCCTTCGGACTCCGGAGCACCATGTCCGCGTACTCCTTAGCTCGATCCTTCTGGAAGAAGGAGAGACACCAGAGGATTTTGGCCTGCTCGGTCGGGAAGTGGTCCGGACAGAGCTGGAAGTAGATGGAGCACGCGTTGTAGAACGCGCGACCATCCTTGCGGTTTCCGTCGAAGATCGGGGGAGAGGCGGGCTTCAGGCGGGAACGTGGGGTGTTTTCGGATCGACTCGGGGCGTGCTGGGAGGCTTCGGTGCCCCTCAGCTCGGAGTCCGGAGTTGTTTTCGGAGTAGTCGGACGGGGTGTTAAGAGGAGTCCTTCGATTCGGGCAAGTGTATCCTGGATGGAGCTGATTTGGGTTTGGTGTTCGTACGTCTGAGCCCACAAGGTCTGCAAAGTCTCGGAGTCCGGTCCTGAAGCGACTGGCTCGGATGGCGGGATCTGGCTGGAAGCGCCCGGCATTTCGGAGTCGTTAGGGAAGCGAGGGATGGAGTTCCTTGGGTCCTCAGAGGTGGGTGGGAGTAGCAGGAGAGCATCCGGAATGTCCGCAAAACCGGAGAGACGTCGAGAACGAGTCCGGAGTGGCGCAGGACGTTTTCCGTAGGGCTCTGGTGCCAGGATGGGAGATCCTGTTCTGCTGTAAGGGCAACCTCAAGATGGCCGACAGCGCAGGCCTAGCAGAGGGAGAATCCAAAGAAATGAATAAGACTAACTACAATACATGAGAGAGCTGCTCACCTAGCAGAGGGAGAATCCAAAGAGAACAGGATGGGGATTCTCCATGCTAGGAAGCGAAGTATATACTGTAGTAGCGTGGGAGGAATGAAGGGTAACTGTACAGTACACCAGCCACAGGTACGAACGAATATCACAAGGTACGAGGGGGCATGTGATAATGAAGTGGAGGGTAAATGCACAGGAGTCGTGCCAGCGACTTGGGGAAGTAAGGGCGAAGAGTATAGATGAGTCCGAGCGAGTCCGAAGTGTCCGAGACGAGCCCGAGCGAGTCCGAAGTGCGGGAAGACTCCGGAGTCACCGGACGCGGCTCGGATGCGAAAGGAGTGGGTGGAAAGGAAGTGGAAAGGAAAGGGAGCGAAAAGGAACGAAGGGGAATGAAGGGAATGTAGGTAAGAGTCCATGGAATGAAGGAAAGGAGAGAAAATAGGAGTGTCCCCTTACACTCTGTCTGTCCATCTGTTTGGGGGTGGAAGGCTGTGGACAGTTTGGTCTGAATTCCCAATAAATTATTTAATTCTTTCATCACTTGTGGTGCGAATTGGGGGCCCCTGTCTGGTATAATAGTGTTGGGAAGTCCGGAGGAGCCCACAGTGATGAGTTAGAAGACAAGAGGTGATGAAGTAGGAACTAAGATTCAGAGTAGAGATTACATGTGTACTAGTGCTACTATAAATACTAACTAACACATGTATGTAGTGAGGCTAGTATGTAAGTACACATGTACATGAAACATGTAACAAAGTAATCCTAGTACTGCACACCATGCATAAGCCTCGAGGGCGGAGCCCGAGGGATTCCGAAGGTCCGAGTATCCGAAAGGGGCGTAGGGGGACCCCTAAGGGGGCGTGAGGACTCTATGATATGTACTCACCATGCCTAAGTCCCTGGCCCAAATACAGTAAATATTCCTCATGCATTATGTCTGTAACAAACAGTCTATTAACCTCAATGGTATGGTACAGGGTGTTGAGCATGCACCTCCACATGACTCATATTGAGTCATACTGACTAGGTTATTGACTGTGGATCTATTTATATCATAGGTAAATTATAGTATATGAGGAGCCTGTATCCATCTATAATCTACCAGTGCTCTACCCAGAGAGCTACCTAAGTGTGTGCCTCAAGCTACCTAGCTACAAGTAGTATTAGCTTTAACAACCAGTGAGTAGACACTAGTCTTTTACTCAGTGTATGCTTGTCCTCCCCATTAGGGTTGATGGAAAGATGCTCATTCAACTTCAACACAGGGTCCATAAGACAGCTACATATAAACTGTATCTACAGTCATGGCTGGCAGTCCTACAATCAAGTGGTGATTGAGAAATACCCAAATACCACAACCAATGCTCCTCAAATTCTGGCCATAGTGGAGACGGACACAAAGAACCACGAGGAGCAAGGAGACAGTCTTTGTCATTGCTGTAAGCGGTTTCCGGGCTGAGGGTAGACATAATCGCCCGGTGGGGCGCCAGGCGAAATGCGAAATGCGAAAAGGTGTGTGCTGCGCGCGAGAAGTACGTTGGGAGTGCCGCATATCAAGTACACGAGCGACCATCATTCCAAACGGATCTTCTGAATCTGAATCTATGTATATACATGATACACGACGTGGCGCGCACAGGTCTACCGTTGACCAAATCCTATGAATGCTAGTCGAACAACACAACAACGCAGCAGTACAGCATCTGGACGAGACAACAGAGTCGCAACAAGAAAACCTAATTCTACACCCGTACCATACATTACCCCATATCCCACAGGACCGACCATCAACCATCAGGCATCAGGCATCAGGCATCATCAATCATCGTCATCCCCAATAACATGTGCCCCGCCCCCGCCCGTCAAAGGCGTCTGCGGGACTCTCGCATACCACTTATTGCCACCCCCACCGCCACTTGTGTCCCTCAGCTCGATCTCTTCGCCACCAGAGAAGGACGGGGATGAAGGGGATGAAGAGGCGTGCCGACCCGTCGTGGCGTAGAGGTGGAGGAGCAGAAGTATGAGGCCGTAGATCGTGAACGCCAGACTGTTACATACGAATAACATACAGATGAATGAAAGATGGAACTGTGAGTATGTTGGTATGGGGAGGAAAGGAAAGGACGTGTACGTACCTAAACATGATTAAAATGTACGTGACATGATCCATCCCACTCTCGTGCACGGCCTCGATCTCTTCGTCCGTGGCGGACATGAAGAGCAACCTATGCGAAGTGATTGCAAGTTAGCAAACCGAACACGGCGTGCAGGAAATTAAAGACATTACCCAGCAGCGACGAGCAACTATACACCGCAAACACGCACAAAGATCGGAATTCAACCAGTCAGTTCAGTCAGTTGCTCCCAAAACCTGCGCATAGTACTCACAAACGGCGGTAAATGTCTGAACGCCTTCTTCACGCCCGCACCCGCACTTCCCGGACCTCCACCCCTGCTCCTACCGCCGCTACCAATAGCTCCTCCACCACTCGTATCACCAGCACCCCCTCTCCGACCATCCACACCCGATCCACCAACGACGTGATGACTGTTGTTGTTCTCCGCCAACGTATGGTCGCTCCCCGCATCGTCCCCTTCGTCGAAGACAACATCAACTTCCCCATTGCTGCTGGCAAGATGAGGGTGGATGGGTGGGTTGGATAATTTAGCGTAGTCGGGCGCTACGAAGCATATTTCGACGATGCGTGCCAGGCCCGCGAGCATGAGCGTGTGCCCAAATGTTGCGTGGACCTGTGGGTGTGCAAATAGTAGTTGGTCGTTGCTGAGTATATCGTATCAGATAAACAACGCGCCTTGGTAGACATCTTCAGCCTCTGCGCATGCTCGGACATTGCCCATCCCGTCAAGATGATGCTGCGTAACACAAAGATAAACGGGTCAAGATCGGTACGTTGATCAAGGTTTAGGGGAGGGGACAAAAAGACAGTGGACTCACATCACCCCTGGAACGACGTTGCGCTACAAGAGCTGGGCATCATACTCTGAAGTCTACGAAGGACGACAAGCTCGACGCACCTGGTTATTTCTAGCCAAGAAGATACCAAGGAGACCTCCTGTCCACCCTGTAGAACATCAGTGCTCGTGCTTTCGTGGTAGATAAAGGGAGGGGAAAGGATGACGAGGTGAAAGTGCACGCACATAGGACACCGAGGATACTATACGATACGACGTTAGTGATTTATCATCCGCGTGGAAGGGACGTAGATTGGAAGAGGAGGGGTGAAACGTACGTATGTTGCATATCTTTGACCGACCATGTCGAGCCACGGTGCTCTGTGAATGTGTTGACTGCGAATGAGGGATTAGTATCTCACTTTGACCGCCGGAAGCATACAAGGGGATGGGTACGGGAGACTTGATCGTGGCATGGTAGTGCCTTGTGCTGTGAGAGTGAGGAGTAAGAAGCAAAGTACTCACCGATGCCCTATACACCACGCGATGCGATTTCAACAACATGGATCGTCACCAAAGCTTTCGACCGACTCACCCACAACATAATAATCCTTCAACACGCGAAGAAACGGTTCATACATAGCGAGCGGCGAAAATATGTGCACTTACCAAGAATCCCACCATTCCGGACTTCTGCCGCTCCGTATGATCCAAGCCTCTCCAACTACCAAGAGAATAGCCATAATCGCACCGTAGGCGATGAAGCCGCTTCCCTACGGACACGGTCTTATCAGCACTTCTGTCAGCGCTTCCCAAAGTAGAGGGATAACCCCCCGACATACCATAATATAATGCGCCAAACACTGTCCCAGATTTCCGTCGCGACAATAGCCTCCATATGTAAGCGCGCCGAACAGCATCTGCGACCACCCTAGCACGGGGTACGCCTTGCCCAGCACACCATGCGCTACGACGGCGTACGGCCGTATTGTCTCCTCGTGAATGTGGAGTTTGAGGTAGATGCCTAAAGAGAGCTGGAGGAGGATGGGGATGAAGAGCAGGGAGGCGAATGAACCATGGATGGAAGGGAGGAACATCCGTCCACCATGAGAGTGCCCGAGGATGTAGCCGCCGAAGGTTAGTGCGAACGCCGTGCTCTATATGATATCACGTAGAACGGAGGTCAGAATCCGCAACTTCAAGGTCGAACCAAAGCGGGGTCGCGGGGGCATACCTGCAGAGGGACGTGCCAGCGGCTCCTCGTGATACCCAGCACCATTCCGACAGGGAACAGGATCCCCCAGACCGTAGCCTGGAGAAGTATGTGGATCCAGAGGATAGCATCGGTGGGCGCTTTGGATTGCTCCTCAGATAGTTGGTCGTGGTGTTTGTGCGCCGCCGAGAGCGTGGTGAGCAGCAGCAGCAAAAGTACAGTATGGTTCATAGCAGCGGCCTTCGCCATCGTGGTCGTGGTCATCGTGGTCAGCGTCCAGGAGCTCTGCACGCGCCCACCCGCCGTTCTTGAGGGAAATGAGGAGAATTCGGAGTGCTGGTCGGAAGCGAGTTATTTGTGATGACACATCGTTAGATTGAACAGAAGATTAGATAAGAGCTAAGTGACAAGTGATCGCCGTCGGCGCTTCAAAGACCTCGTAATTCATCTCAGCGGCCTTCGTCATAGCACTCAACTCCCTGAGCTCACCCTCAACGCAGCCATAGGAGTTTTGGATCGCCGGATCCATTTTCGTGACATGGTGCTCGATGCGTATATAAGGGCATCTCCCGGCACATCGATAACCATCCAAGTCTTTCTTACCCCCCACACAAGTGAGTGCCGATGGATCATCATCGATCAATCAATTGTTGTTTTACTCATACCTCAGGCCTCAGGTTTCAGAGATATGGCCTATAAATTCACAGTTCGCGTCTACCAAACCAACACTAACGCCTACTTCACACCCATCGAGACTTCGGTGCACGACGCGGGGTACTGGTCCAACACTGACGGCCAATACACCCTTATGACGGGCTTCGACACATCCGGCGCCATACGCCTCCACTCCGGAGGCGAAAACGTGGTGGTGTTTCTAGGGAATCACGATAAGAAAGTCTGGTGCGATATCGACACCGACATCGAAGGGAATACTGCTGCGAAGTTGAATGCGGAGTACTATGATGGGAAGGCAAGGGAGAGAGATAGGAAGAAGTATGCGAAGAGTGCGACCGTTGTCAACAAGAAAACTAGGAGGTTTAGTTTGGAACTTGAGGGCGACCGGAATCAATTCGTAGCCAATATCATTATCCAGTGAGGTGTAATTTCTTGATATCTCATTCATCACCGAACGCAAAATGCTGGAGTAGGTTGACCGCGTCGATGCACATAAAAATATCTACTAATTCTGAACTCTAGTGTAAAAGACGAGGTCCCCGGATGTCGAGCACCATTCCAGGATGACATCAAAGTCTAGGCTATCCCTCTCCAACAACGCACTAAACAAGTCCTTCAGCTTCGCCAAATCTTGTGCTTTCACCTCGCTCGAAGGATCTAGTATATCGTAGCTATCATTGATCGTGTTCACCCGGCCAGCAAACAATTCGATCTTCAGGACTATCCTCTGTAACGCCCCCAGATCGCAGAGTTTGTGTAAGAACACAGATAACTTTTCCAACTCGCGATAAAGTTCTTCGCATTTCCTTTCATTGACACCCGTAACCTTGATATTGATTGTGACCCGATGGAGGAGGTTGGGAAATGGGAGGCTGGCTACACAATTCTTGATCCAAGTGATGAAGTTGGAGCATGATTCGGACCCAAATATATTGATCGTCAACACAGATGGCTGAATCGCTTCACCAAAATCAGGACATCCAGACCAGACATTGACTAGATCTGTGTAAGGGCCAACAGGTGCTTAGAAGGAACAGAATGACACGCGTACCATTGAGGGTAAGTTCTGAGAAGCGAGTTGAAACCCAGGGTGGTACTTTCCAACGTACAGGGTCATACCATTCAGCGACCAATGAACGAAGATTCGGACACTCGATGAACGTCTTGAATCTTAGCAATGGATAGGGAATATTGTCCAACTCCAGAATTTGTAGAGCATCAAATCGTGGGGGCGAAGAGACAACAGTTGTCATGTTTGTGGAGATGACATTCAGGGACAGATCCTCTAGCTGGGAGGAGGTAGGGAGGACACTGACGACATCTCGATCGTGATCCCACCCCTCAAGATGCAGCTTGCGAAGGTTGGGGGCGGTGGCAAGAAGAGTGGTAATTCCCATGTCAAGAGGAGATAGTTCTGCAAGTGACGAGTTCACACTGCCGATGTCTGCGAGGTACAAAGTACCGAGATTCCTAAATCTGGAGAAGCAGTCCGGAAGCCACGCTGGGAATGGCTCATAGTTAGCCCTGGTGTCCAGGGATAGGCGAAAGTCGAGAACGTAGTTGCAGAGATGGGGTGCTTCGAAATGAAGGAAGGACAACCGAGGGATCAATGTACCAGCGCTGATTTCAACGATACGGAAGATATAAGGCCGGCATATGTCGTTCCATGCATGGCATACAAGAGAGCAAGCTGTGAGGCACGGGGGCACGCCTGTCACAGATCCGGAGTAGGTGTTACTGTTGCCACGACGGTCGAAACCCGCAATAATCTGGAGGATCAGTTCGGTAGGCAACTGCTTCGAAAAGGATGAAGTGTCCTGGTGTGATATCCCCATGCTAACGCACTAGCGGTCCGTATGTGACATGTGAGTCTCCGATATTTCGTAATCACCCAGAAAACTGACCTGATATCAGCCCTGTAAGCTTCAGAGTCTTTCAAGTACAGTCCTTGATATTGCCGCTGACGAGTTCGATGTTGTCGAGCGACGTGTTTTGATTCAAGTTTTAGAAGTTTCTTGTGGACATCAGCATGTTGCGAAACGATGAAGCAAGGACCAACATACTCTGAATTGGCCAACGTTGGAAATGGACTTCGAATTTGAGGAGTAAAATACAGGGAGTCTGAATCGATGATTATCGGAGCTCAATCGCGATCTGAATTAATGCAGAGGAGCCTTAGCTGAGTTTACAATGGCCTGGCAGAAGTCGCAATGCTAAGTTAACAACATCCGCGCCCCTAAGTTCCAGTCAAGTAGAACGACTGCAACCATCTCAAAAAGATTGCCCTTCCGAGTAGCTCTCTCCTGGACTGGAGTTCAGTATAACCGAACAAATTACCAATGTGGTTGGGAAGAAGACATGCACAACTATAACACAATGACTACTTCGCTGCCCTCTGAACCCTAATCTGAAAAGCGACCGGTTTCGGCACTCTGTCAGTCCATGATACACCGGCATCCAAGTCTAACCCGCCGCTCTTCAACAATGGTCCAAGGGCTTCCTCGAGCTTCGCCAATTCTCGTGCCTGCACCTGCATATCCGTTGTAATATCACCGACACACTCGACGGGCACCTTGATTGATACGCTCATGCCCTCCAGCCCTCCGAGGTCGCGAATTTGTTGGAGGAAGCAAAACAAATCCGCAATCTCGCAGTAAAACGCCTCGAAGTCCTGTTCGTCGATTCTGCAGATATCAGCACTGATGGTCAACTGACGGACGAGGTCGGGAAACGGAAGGCGGTTGATACAATCTTTGATCCAAGTAGCGATTTCAAGGATTGAACCGAGTCCTATTATGTCGATCGTGAATGCGGATGGCCTGATTGCTTTGCCGAAATTGGGAAGACTGCAGTCGGTATCGACTAGTTTCAAACAAGAGTCAGCAGAATAAATAAAGCAACAAGATGATGCGCACCAAGGATCTCGAGGTCAGAGAAATTAGTTGAGCACCATGGCGGTAAATCCCAGTCCTCCGGCCATTCAGCGACCAAGGATTTAAGATTTGGGCACTCAATAAACGCGCTAAATCTGACCAGCGAGTGGTCTACATTTTGCAACTCTAGACATCGAAGAGCATCAAATCGCACAACTGAAGGAGCATCTGGAGCATCGTCTTCATCCACAACGTCCGAGGCCCCAAAGACATTATCCAGTACCAATTCTTCCAGCTTGGGGTTAGTCGAGAGTAGGATGTCGAGTAGGTCTGAGGCATCGTCTTCGAAGCACCATGTTTGGATGTACAGCTTGCGAAGGCGAGGAGTGGCGACGAGAGGGGTAAGATTCAAGTCAAGTGCCTTGAGCATATCCGTGGACCCGCCCCACAGAGACAACACGCGCAGATTCTCGAATCGTTTGGAGCAGTCGGAAACCCACGATGGTAGGGCCGTCACACTATCGTCGACGTCAACATTCCAGCCGAAGTGGAAGAAGCGAATGGCTTTGAAGAGATGGGGAGCTGTGAAATGGAGGAAGGAGAGCCGAGAGAAATGCCTATCGAAATCGCAGATGATAACCCTGCAGAAGATGTGAGACCGGCAGATGATATTCCATGCACGGCACACGAGAGAACATGGGAAGAGGGACGGAGGTGGAGGTTTACCGAAGAGGCCATATATATCATCGCGATCGTCAAGAAAAGCAACGATTTCGGAGATCAATTCGAGAGGGAGTGGCTTTGAAACAAGTCCAATGTCGGACATCGTATCGGTGTGAATGGATGGACTAACAGTGCACTTTTAATAATTAATGAGCGTAACTCAGATCACATACCGGTAAGTAGACTCTATGACAGTCCTAGTATCGGCTTGCAAATAGTCTTCAAGTTGGTGATGGCATGTACAGGTACGAACGGTCAGCTGTCTCGGTGGCGATTCAGCGCGCAACAAGTTGAGGGCAGTGCAGATGATACACCTGCTAAATAGATGGTGTTTGAACTTTGTAGAGTGGTCGTTTGTACAAGAAAGTGGCTCTGGGTTGAGTTTGAAAATTGTTGAGCAGGTCACATCCATATTTCGATAAGCGCCGTCACTTTCATTAACATTACCGAACTTTGGCCGAATTTCACTTTACATTGCAGCGCTACTTACCGTCTGATACTGTTAACCTACTTGGCAGGTCACTACCACACTAATATACCCGGCCACTTCATGCGCCATGGGGGCCAAGATCCACACTCTCATCGAGAAGCCGTTTGGGCCGTACCCGCAGTATCAAATCTTAGCGGACAAGTGGCAGCCCAGCTCGACCAAAATCCCGACGCTGACCGACGTGTTCTTGTACGCGAACGGCCGCGTGATAGGGTTAGTTCTACCACCCGCCCTCGAAGGGCTAATTTACCCTTCCCTCCATCCGTGACAGCCTTGACGACACCGAGGTGCTCTACCCCCCTCCGGCCAGCGTCCCTCACCCCGCGAAATCCGACATCCAATGGTACGGAGTATTGACTGTTGACAAGCTCAAATGGCTCTCCGACCAAGGCCGCGCATGGCTTGAAGCGGACCTCCAGAAGCGAGACATTGACCTCCACATCAACAAGGCAAGCAGCGGTCTTACTCTAGACGCGCTCTACGGCAGCAAGAAAGACGAAGGCCTGAAGATTCGTGTCTATCTGCAAGGCGAGAAACACGCGTCGATCACCTATTTTGTCGACAGTAAGCGCTCCGTGTTGTATTCTATCAGCCCTCAGCTCTGACTGAATACGGTAGATGTACACCCCACGAAGATGATATTGACCTCAAGATTGTATAGGTATGATACTTGCATCATGAAGTTCAGTACTCATATCTTTCTAGACCTGCAACAAGACCCACAGATGCCATCCAGCGGCGCTACATCGTCGAGTCGCTGGATATCGACATGATACCAACGAGCCGCAACTTCCTCGCACGCTACCAACTCCTCGCGAGCATGGAACATATCGTCTCGACGGACCCCAGCCCACCCCCGCGCGCACTGCGTGACATCGAGTATTGGATCAGTGGCTATCTGCGCTGCAGACCCGCCATCGAGCAGCACCGGCGCTACATCTTCGCTCCACCAGACGACGACGCCGACGACGCCGACGACCGTGACGATGACCCCAACCACGATCCCAACCCCGGCGAACCCACGACGCCGCGCTACCTCCGGCACCTGCACCGCTGCACCGTCGCCGGCATGTTCGCCGCGCAGGCGGAATGGATGCTTGCGCAGCAGCTCGGCCCGCAGCCCGAGAGACGCATCGTCGATCTCAGGGTGTGGTACGCATTCTGCGCGGAGGTGCGTCACATAAGGTCGAAGGTGCCGGAGAGCGGGGGCTGGGGGCGGCCGTATGGGTACAAAGAGAAAGATGCGGATAATGGGAAGACACTGAAGGAGTTCATACAGAAGAAGTTCTTTGTCCCGGATAGCAGGATCAAGCGACTCGAGAAGGCGTGCAAGAAATCGAGCACGCTGGTAAGTAGGCCTGCTCTTCATTCATTCTTCCCTCGAGCGTTGCTGATGACGGTTTCATATCCTCTAAGCCGACTAGGACCCCAACACCCGAACGCGAAGACACACGTCCCTCGCCCGTCGCTCTGCAGCACCACTACGACTCGGACTTCACCGACAACCTCTCCTCCTCCTCCGAAGCCTCGGATCCCGACTCCACCTCCATCACCTCTATCCCCATGGCCGACCTTGCCTCTGTCCCCGCATTCTGCTTCACCCGCCCCTCCCTGCCTGCTGGCATCTTTTTCTGGAAATGCCCGGGCCACGGGTGCGACTTCCGATTGGATCTGATGCACCCCGACAAGTCGTCCGCGACGATTGACCCGCGCCATATCGCGTGGCTGAAGAACCCGCAGAGCTGGCGGAATACGGCGGAACCGCGCCTGCGAGAACGGTTCGACGCGATCGTGAGCGCGCACTACCTACAGCATATCAGGGCAGTTGATTTGGACTATGAGATTGTGCTCGAGGCACAGAGAATTACGGTAGGGGTTTATATCCATGATACTGAAGCCCGTCGTGGTTGTTCACTGACACCTTATTGGTGTGTAGTTTTCTAGGAAACGGGCACCGACCCCCGAACGCACGCCGCCACCACCACCGCGTAAGAAGATCAAGGTCGAGGAAGTTGAACCAACCACCCACTATCCGCGCCTCTCCCGCAGTAGGCAATCGTCCAATCGTCCAACACCCGGCGCTAGTCGTGTCTTTATCCGTTGACCACACTACGCATACTTCTACCTTTATGGCCTGTTTCCGGTCGTTGAACATCTCGAACATCTCAATTGAGGGCTCTTGACTTCGTTCTTCGTTGGAGGGCACTTTGAACGAGGTCGTCCATACCCATTTCAAAGTGTATATCTATGATATATGAATATCGATGGAATTCTCTCTATCTCTACCCCGAATACAATAAGTGCTTATTCGATAATACTAAGCTCACGCTTCCGCGCCCTCGCAAACTCGTCTTTGTAAGTGTCCCATATCCTGCAACCAAACCGAAGTAAGTGTGAGTATGAGTATATGAGTGTGAGTATGTAATACGATATATTGGGGGATTGGGAGTGCGTACCTGGTCAGTTCGTCGATGTATATCTTCTGGATGCGGAAGACCTCTTCCGAGGAGGGGTGGTCGCATTGCGTTACGTGTATCGGCTTGCCAACTTCGTATATTTATGATCAATAAGAAACTCATCTACATGCGGAACGGGAGGGGGGACTTACTGACTGCCACGATCCGCCGGCGGTATGGCATGAGCCCAAGATTATCTGTAGATAGTCCGTCACTGGTCCCTTAGTATAAATGAACAGCAACCGTACAGTTCAGAAGACCTCGCCCGTGAAACATTGGCAGCGTGAAACCGAAGATGCTCTGGAATTTCTTCTGAAGCGCGTATATCGTCGTACCTCGTTCGTTCGGCATTTGTTGGTATATCTAGCGCGTAACTTAGGTCAGCCGAGGAAGGATATCCGAGAGGATGGCCGACGGACGTCATTCTCGCCGAAAGAAAAAACTGGCACAAGGTCGGCTCTGTGGAGCAAATTGAGATAAATTATTCCGCCTCGTATTCAGTTCGCAGAGCACGCACCCGTGTTGTATCGCGATTTTGATGAACCCGAGCCTTGAAATCACTCAGTCTCGATTACGCTTACGACGCCATAACTCCACCAACCTTCGTCTCAGCGTCAAATCCGCCGTCCCCGGCCGCGCACTCAAGCTTTCTGCAGCGCCTCCAACGATGATAGTTATTGCGGACCCCGGCCCAGATTTCAGGATATTCGAGCACGACTGCTTGCTCACGCTGCATATGCCGAGGGCCAAGATGATATCGCGGTATATTGGCATTTTGAAGTTTGAGGCCAAGGTGAGGAGGTGCGGCTTGATGCCGGGGAAGGCTTTGGAGAAGCCCGTTGCTGTAAGGGGCATTAGTGATGATCGATGATCGTTTGAAGGTATTTGGATGATACTCGCCTTCTGTCGCAAATGTTGCAAAGGCACCCCTGAACTAACGTGAAGATCATAGCAGACGAGAGAACGTGAGAGACGTACATGCCGATGATGCCTATGGCAACATTCAGAGACGATAGACACGAAGGCAGGTACTACGCACCATGAGGATGATAGCCGAACACATAAGGCCTATCAGCCGGCAGTTCAGCTTCCTGAAATCCCGGATTAACCAACTTCCCCGAATCCAACCAACCGACACACCTTAAGGAATCTAATGCCTAGTCAGAGCGGGAAGCAAGGGTGACACGAAGAGAACTCACGAAGCAGGATAATAATCCGCAAAATATCTCCAGAGCGCCATCGACCTGAACCAATGACTTGGTCGCCCGCCGTAGTCGGGGCTTTTATCTATCCATCGTATCCAAATGGTGTAGAACGTCAAAAGAGGCCAGAGTGGGGGTATCGACCTGCGAGGAGGTTCAGTCAGGGTCCAACCACGTCTACAAGTCTGTGAGGGCGTACCATAGCAGCAGAAACGTGACCGTCGTGATCACAATGAGCACCGACCAAATGGCTACTGCAAGCATCTGCAGCCGTCTTTTCCTCGGTACTTTGGCAGGGACGAAACTAGCAAAATCAGGATCAGTCCCGCGTCGACAGCTGCAGCGCATCACTCACTCAATGTTCGCCTGCAGCGCCGCGACCGGTCGCAATGGAGTTGTTGTCAATTTTGAGAGCCTGTCTTTCAACGAGGAGGCAGATAAACTGCGCGAGGCCGCTGAGAGCGCGCGTCCGGGCTCCATGTCGGCGAGACTTGGTAGCTGAGCGATGGGAGAAGATGAAAAGAGTGCAGGTCACTGTACTGACATGGAGTGGCTGATGCCAATGTGAGTGCGACCCTGCAAAAGTGATTGATCCACGTGAAGGTTGCACACCGTGCAATGAAGTCATTTTGTTTGAGCGCTCGCCCACCAATCAACAATAAAGAACATGATGGATCGAAATTTCTATTTTATCGTGAACGTACAAGCTACAGGTGTGCAGAGGGGACATCAAGGAAATCACTAGTGTGTCGACATCAAATTACGCGTAAAGGTCATCGTCAGCAGCCTCCTCAGCGAAGCCGGCGTTTCCAGCAGTCGTCGAAGAGCCACCTGCGGGGCCTTGGCCCTCCGGGAACTTGAAGTTGTTGCCAAACCCACGGGATTGTTGCAAGTTCTGGGAAGCAACGTCAGTGTGGTCTTCGGGATGTTGCGGGAAATGGCATACCTGGGAGAACATCTCGTAGCGTCTGATATCCTGGTCGGAAACGGAACGACGGGCATACTTCATTGCCTCCTCGAAGTGCTCTCTGCCGAAGAGTGAGAACTACAATATCAAGAGCAAAGCAAGCAACGTACCTAGTGATTTGAGGAACGGGGTCCTCTTCATCCTCCATCGCGGCATCGTCTCCGGCTTCCTCCTTCTCCTTCTTTTCTCGCTCTCGTCGAATGTCGGACTCGATCGACTCCCGGATGGCCAGTTTGGCTGCGCGCTGACAGATTTCAGTGAGATCGGCACCGGAGAAACCGTGCGTGTTCTTGGCCAAGAAACCGAGGTCAACCTCGGGAGAAATGGGTGACTTCTTGAGAGCGGCCTTCAAGATGCTCAAGCGCGAAGGCTCGTCGGGAAGAGGGATATAGATAAGTTGGTCAAGACGACCGGGTCGGAGGAGGGCGGAGTCAATTTGATCGGGCCTGTTCGTCGCGCCGATGATGAAGACGTTTTTCTTCGAGTTCATGCCGTCCATTTCAGTGAGAATTTGGTTGAGAACACGATCACCCGCTCCTCCGCCGTCACCAGAGGCACCACCTCCACCACGAGCCTTCGCAATCGAATCCAACTCATCGAAGAACATGACACAGGGTGCGGCGGCGCGAGCCTTGTCGAAGACATCTCGGACGTTGGCTTCAGACTCACCGAACCACATGGTGAGCAGTTCAGGGCCCTACGAGCGCAGATACATTAGCTTCGACGAACGGAAATATATCGGGTAACAAACCTTGATACTAATGAAGTTGGCTTTGCACTCGTTGGCAATAGCCTTCGCCAGCAGCGTCTTACCAGTACCAGGAGGACCGTAGAAAAGAACACCCTTTGACGGCGACATACCGTACTTGAGGAACTTCTCCGGGTGGTCGACTGGGTACTGGACAGTCTCTTGTAGCTCCAATTTGACCTTCTCCAGACCACCAATGTCGTCCCAGGTGACAGTGGGCACCTCGACAACAGTCTCGCGAAGAGCAGATGGGTTGGACGTGCCGAGGGCGAAGCGGAAGTTGTCCATAGTGACACCGAGCGAATCGAGGACTTCGGCGTCAATTGTGTCTTCGTCGAGGTCAATGAGATCCATCTTCTCGCGGATCTGCTGCATAGCTGCCTCCGAGCACAGCGAAGCGACGTCAGAGCCAACATAACCGTGGGTATCTGCGGCAATCTAAGGAGCATTTATAAGAATACAGCAACATCACAATCAAGCGTCTACGAACCTGCTCCAAATCAACGTCGTCGGCAAGTTTCATGTTCTTGGTGTGAATGCGGAGAATCTCGAGACGGCCAGTTGGATCGGGGATACCAATGTCGACTTCGCGATCGAAACGACCGAAACGACGGAGAGCGGGATCGATGGAGTTGGGACGATTCGTGGCAGCCATGACGACAACATTTGAACGGGCCTTGAGGCCATCCATGAGGGTAAGGAGTTGGGAGACAACTCTGCGCTCGACTTCTCCGTTGGTCTGTACATCGAGTTGGTGAATCAGAAGCGCAAGTAGAACGTACACTACGAACCTTTTCACGCTTGGGGGCAATGGAGTCAATTTCATCAATGAAGATGATAGCAGGCGAGTTCTTCTCCGCTTCCTCGAATGCCTTCCTAAGATTACTTTCACTCTCACCCGCCATTTTACTCATAATTTCGGGACCATTGATTAGGAAGAAGAATGCGCCAGTTTCGTTGGCGACAGCGCGTGCCATAAGGGTCTTTCCAGTACCTGGAGGACCGAACATGAGGATACCGCGAGGTGGCTTGATACCGATGGATTTGAAGAGCTGAGGATGTCTCAGAGGGAGTTCGACGAGTTCACGGATTTGGGCCATCTGCTTTCTGCATCCACCGATATCGTCGTATCCGACATCAGCCAGGTTAGCTTCCTCGTCCTCGCGCTTGACGGGATCGCCCTCTGTATAATATTTAGCCTCTCGAACAGGAGAAGTCGTCAACGCGATCACTGACCTGTGTGAATGACCGTATCCTGCGCCACTATACAGAACTCGGCAGGATCCGTTTCGATGACTTTGAATTCCACTGTGCGCATTCCACCGCGAACGAGGAAAGTATCTCCCTTGCGGACGGGGCGATAAGCTACCATGCCGTTAGCGCGAATGGTCGGACAGCGAACAGAGACTCATTCATACCCTCCAAGAAATAAGGCTTGAGGAAGACATCGAAGATGTTGCCACTGAGGCCTTCGATCGAGTCGTCGAATGGAAGGATGTGTACGCGCTTCCCGTATTTGATGTCGAGACATTGGTGGACGTTTACAAGGTCACCAAGCTTCACTCGCAGGTTATTGCGAGCCACTTTGTTCATCTGTATACGACCCTCTTCGACATCATCCGAGCTCAAGCAGATGAGCACTGTGTCGCGACGCTTCTTCCCGCTGATCAATTAGTGAGCCACTGTACGAGGTCCATCAACAAGCGTGCTCCATACCGGACGATAATCGTGTCCCCTCGAAAGAGTGATAGAAGCTCCATCGTTGCGGGGTTTAGTGTCGCAACTAGATGATTCACAATGAGCACCGTTTACAGCGCTATGATATCAGTATCACCCACCAGAGTTATCATCTGTCGTTGCTTCATCGACGATGAGACGATTTGGCCTTGATGTCTGGTCAGTACGGCCACACAAGAGACACTAAGTCCTCACGATTTCTTTGGTCGCAGAATGGCCGTCGAAGTATCGTTCGGCCCTGGTTGGGGTGCTGCACCACTGGGATCAGCCATTGTAAACAATCAAGCGGGATATGGAGTGAGTCCGAGAGTGCGTCCTTGGGTTTATAAAGCAGACTGTCACGAAGTACGCGCGTCCTGACTCTCACAAACCTTGGCCTGCCGTAAAGTCCGCAGATCCGCGTGACTTAGGCGCCTCCCTTTATAAGTTCTCGTCAGTTCTGCCAGATTCTAGCGGCCACTACCTCGATGATACACGTAGCGACACAACTGACATACAAAGCAATTACGGACGCAAGATCGAGTTCATACAGACCATTGAAAAGGATCATCTACGATGACTGTTGGATGCAGCAGATCGAGGGGATGAAGACAATGGGGAATATTCTATTTTCAAAGATCCTGGCGACGCGAACGTTTCCTGTCCACTACTTTCCATCATATAGCGTGCGCGTTACATCTCCTCGTCGTCAAGGTTAAGTTCCTCCACAGGATAGTCGCCAACTTTGACTCGATCAGGTCGTACAAAGATGCCGTAGTTTGGCCGACATGAAAAGTAACGTTCCCCGTGTACTCTATCGCCAAATGTCAGCCATTGTAGAGCAAAGAGACGTGAATACTGACGATCCATCATTCTTACCCATGGGCTCGTCGAATTCGACGCCAACCCACATACCCTCCTTGTTGGCAAAGTTGGTTGGGCCGACGAAACGAACAGTACCCCGTTTATGTAGAGATTCCTCGGTACTGTCAACTTCACACCGAGAACCAATTGGTATATCTATGTGTGGAAGAGGAGCTGATTTCTCTGCATCCTCCTTGGGGGCAAAGCGTCCAACTTTGTTGCGTTGCTTGTACTGCAACACTGTATCTAAGGTACGGAGATTAGGTTCGACGTTATACATTCATGCCGACGCCATACCTTGCCTCTGTGCGTAAGCTTCATCGCTCAGCTCGAACTTTTCCACTTGCGAGACGTCCGTAAGCTGGCCTGTGAGAGTTACTGATGGGTTCGTGTCGTCCACCTATATTTGAGTTCATGAATATTCCATCGAATGGGGGTGCAAGCCATGTACCACTAACTTTCAGAACCTGGAAGTCTTTCAGACCATAAAAACCCAGCTGCTGCGAATCGTCGGATAATGTGGTGACGGCTCGAGTGTCCTCCTCAGAATCTAGAACAGAGATTGACTGGTTGCTGACTGGGATCCCCGTGATGAGTTCAAGCTTGTCCTGATCAAAGGAACCTCTTTAATCGAGGGTTGGCATCGATGTGGTTGATCAAGACCTTTAGTTGCGCCACGGTGAGGTGCAAATCATAACGTCTTTCGGAACGTGTATCGGGAGATGTGACAAACACGGTGACCACTGTCATGTTCACTGAGATGAAGGAAATGTTTGACTTGAACGAACGTTATCGAAAACGCGGTCACACCGACGGAAGTTATTGGGCGCCTATTTACTGCATCTTGAACTGAGCCCATCACGTCCCGTTCAGCCACAATGCATTACATGCCGGCGCCGCCATTGCCGTGTGAACCGTTAACGTTTTAACGATCTCAGTAGATGCTGCCGCCGGCACCCACCTTTAAGTACAGATATGACAATGTCGGCGGCGGCGAGAGCTCCCCGTAACACTACGATCTTGGCTCATGAGTCAGTTCCCCGAGCACCAATCGCCGACGAAGCAAGTTTAGATGCAAGATCTTATCAACACCTTGATATATTGGAACGGACGGGTTTCAACGGTGATCCCATCGAGTCTCATTGTTTCAAGAATGATCGCGTCAATGCGGCGTTGAGATGGAGTAGAAGTGAGAGGGGTCGTGCCTCGCCCAACAAGCCAAACACCCGTGGCCTTGCTACTGGTGCCACTAGCGAACTGCATAGCTGTGAGTACTTCCGCAAAATGTAGTTCCATGTCTGACTCCGAGATGTATTCGTAGACTTGGGTTGCGCCGCTCGGGGACCTCTGTCAATGCTCGGATTGCATCACCGAACAACGTCTACTATTCCACTGATGCATCAAGGCTGCGCCTACATACAGTCGGCACGAGTTGGCGGCATTACGCGGTCCAGTTGCAGCATCATCACTTCAACCACCCGTTTGGAACACGACCATGCATCCCTAGGGGACTGACGGCGTGCTCCATTTGTCCCTGTGAGCTTTTTCCATCCAGATTTCTATTGGATTTCGCTTATTTTGCACTTCTTTTCGCCAGGATATGTTTTGTCCCTTCCCACCACTTCCCTCTAGCAATTGATGCATCACACATACCCCGTCGCATTCGAGCCTACTTAAGTGTAGCTTCTAGCCGCACTACTTTTGTTTTCCGTCAGTTGCCTCGAGTCCGGCACTGGCTCAAGTATGTCCTTTTCTAAGGAAGAGGTCCGTACAATTCCTTCCAACGTTCTGTCTAGATTTTACCAGGACCTACAGTCAAAATTCGTTGCAATATTCTGTCAAACCCTGCTTTATGGTGAGCATTATCCTCTTTAGAGGCTCGTGTGCTCTTTTGACACTTACTTTAGGTGCCTACGCGGTTATCTTCTTGATTACTCATTGGGTCCTCGTCCATCGGCAGCCCAGGGGGAAACCAATCAATTGGACAATGGTTGGTATTTCATTGGCAATGTTCATCCTGGCCACCATGGTAAGTGAATACAGCCATACCCTGACAATAATTTGGCCGTTGATTCTCTCTCCAGCATATCGCCGTCAATTTCACTCGAATCATCAAGGCCTTCGTTATCTACAAAGATGAACCAGGGGGACCCGCCGCCTTCTTTGACAAGCTTGCAGAGTTCACCCAACTATTTGGCAGCACCATTTACGTTGTCCAAACTCTCCTAGGCGATAGCGTCGTGGTAAGAGCATACCGTTGAACAGCCTCCAGTCTCTGATTTTGTCTTTGAACATTAGCTTCTTAGGTGCTACATTGTATGGGGACGGCGTCTCTCCGTTGTCCTGTTCCCAGCCATCCTTCTTCTAGGAAGCACAGGTACGTTGCTGTTCGCCAGCTTATCTCGCCGTGTGACGCAATAATACTGTGCAGCTTCTGGGATCGGAATCTTGTACTCGATGGCGCATGTGGTGCCTGAAGCAGAAATATTCGCCGTCCAATTGCAGAAGTGGATTTTGACTTTCTTCTCCATGACATTCGCTACCAATATCATTTGCACCTGTAAGCACTCTCACACCCAATCTGCATCCGCGTTGGCTTGGCTAAACAGCTTCCTAGCGCTCGTTGCATTCCGTATCTGGCATAACATGAAACGCGAGAGTGCGGTATTTGGCGGCGGGAGGAATTTGCGCCCCGTTCTCTTCCTCGTGGTAGAATCTGGCGCGGTGTACTCTGCGACGTTATTGGCTTTACTTGTCCTCTACAAGACCGAATCGTGGTTCCAGTACGTGTTACTGGATGTGGTACGTACTAGGCTATTCAATTCAATACCTTACTCCCTCGTCTTGCTGACGCCGATTCTACGTAGGTATCACCGATTGTTGTGAGTGCTTGGCATCACAGACATCTTGCATCCGGTGGCTGACTTCCTGATAGGGCCTCGTCTTCTCCATGATCATCGTGCGCATCGGGTTGGGTCTGACAACCACTGGTGGAGAGACGCGAGGCCCTTTTACTAGTCACAGGGAGAACGCTCGTCCTTCGGATGGAGAGAAGGAAGAGGAAATAACACTGGAGACTTTTGTAGCCGCCCCGCGGGTGCTTGAGGTGACGGCTACCATGTCCTCGGGTCACAGCACCTACCCAGACACGGATACGACGTACGCACAACCGTCCAGTGGGAGCATAGACACGAGGTAGGCTGGCTCTTTAGCTCAGTGGGGGGCAGTAGATACTGCTGAGGATCCTAAATATATGCATATGCCTAAAGAAAACAATTCGTTCGAAACGCTCCGATATAAGAGCTCTGTCGCTGGGCAAGGAAGTGAACATCAAACCGTACATTCGCATCAGCAACGCCAATTACCTCGGGACTACGCCACCCAGCGCCATCTCCCATCCAAGTTGCTCGTACGTCCAGCCAAAACAAGACCCACCAAGCGCTGCGGAGTGAAAGCCACACACACTGTGATGCATCCCTTCTTCCTTGTGGAGTTCGTTGATAATCCGCATCTCCTCTGGACTGAGAGAAATCAACTAAGAACATCGAGGAACAGCTTGGGTCAATAGGGTCAGCGTTGTGTAATACAAATTCGCGGCTCACGGTCAGGTTTTCTTTCAACCGCTCAAGATTTGCACTCTTCGGGATGACGATAGTCGAGCGGCCTATACCCCAGCTAAGTAGCACCTGGGCCACCGTTGCATTATGCTTCGCAGCAATTTCACCCAAGACGTCGTTACCGGATAACTTATTCTTGGCCACGGGGGAGTATGCCGTGAGCAGTAAGCCTTTATGTCGGCAATATTCTAATAAAGAGTGTTGTGGTAGACAAGGATGCGCTTCAACCTGGTTGATCGCTGGGATGATGCGTGCAGATTCGAGGAGTTTGTCAAGTAACTTGATACTGAAGTTTGACACGCCGATGCTTTTCGCTTTGCCTGAATGCCAGTATATCGGTTAATAATGAACGGAGAGGACGACAACGTAAGGCCGTACCAGTTTCGACGAGAATTTCCATCTCACGCCATGTTTCAGCAATCGTTGGGCTCGCATCGGGAGGAAGAGCCTCGCCTGCGAGCCATCCAACAGAGCACACTTTAGCGGAATAGGCAGTTTCCGGACAGAACATCCTTACCAGTCTTCGTTAAAGCCTGGGGCCAGTGCATCAAGAAGAGATCCACGTATGATGTGCCGAGCTTAACCAGGCTCTCGTCGAGGGCTGCGGACACTCGACCATGATCTTCGCTCCTGTAGGTATCGCGAATCTATAGAAGCAGCGCCTTGGGACTGAACCCACGTACGCAAGCTTGGTTGTAATAAACACTTCTGCACGATCAACGCCAGAGTCTCGCAGGCCTTTCCCGACGGACTCCTCATTCCCTGCACGCGACTTAGGAGAGTTCCTGTCAACGAAGCTCGTCACTAAACATACCGTAGTTCGATGCCTGGAAGGCGGCGTCATTTTATTGATAGTTGCCAATGGAACGAACGCCTACCGTGTCGATGTGGCGATAGCCCAATTCAAGTGCCCACACTATCATCTGTCTGACTTGGTCGCTTTCCCCAACTTGCCCCATCCAACATCTGGGAGGGGGATCGACATTAGTTACTTCGTTTGGGTGTAGGGGAAGGAATACCCAACACCGAGGGCTGGAATTGAGAGCCCGTTGTTCAACTTGTACAGTAGTGCGTCATTCATGTCAGCAGTGGTGACAAGGACCAATTCGGGGCACTAAGTCAACTGCAAAAGGGTAGGGATGTTTCCTGACATTCGCGATACGCCACATGAGAAAGTTCCGTGCTCGCCGCGTGTCTCGTGGATAACAATACTATGGGGATCAACGGGAATCGATAATCTCTGATGATGGCTTCGTGGGCGCGCTGGGGTCCCACCAAAAACCAAAAGTTGGGGCATGACCGCAGAAGTTATACCTCATGCTTACATGTGATCATTGTCATCGTGATGAACAACAATATTCGAAATTTGACACGGCTACATCCCGTAGGTGCTACATTGCTATTTGACTTCGCGGCGCTTATAGACATGATTGTTCAGTTGCTTCGCCAACTTTATGCGAGGGTGAAGTATGTGCTTACCTCAATGAATGATGATGTTGGCTGTGAGAAGATGACTGGAGGGGTCCCCAACAAGCTCGACGTTGAACTTCCTCGCTTTCTTGTTCGTGATATTGGCGCTCTTTTGGAACTTCTTCCTATCTCGTTCCCGAGCCTGCCCATCGTAGTACTGCATGTTCAACTGGGCAGAACTCTTCCCTCCAATATCGGTGTCAATATCGCACCATACATTTTTATCGTGGTTGCCCAAGAACACAACGACGTGTTCGCTGCCGGCATCCAGACGGATCGCGGCGGAAGTGTCATACCCTAACAAGAGGATATGTTCGCCGTCATTGTTTGCCCAAGTACCGGCCTTGTACACGGACGCCTCTACTGGTTTAAAGAAGGCGTTCGTGTTGGTTTGGTAGACGCGAACCACGAATTTGTATGACATGCTTCTGCGTGCAAGTGGTTATTTCAAGATCCATGGGTAATTCGCGGGGAAATTGTACCTGTTGAAACGACGGCTGAGGGTATTAGAGGTATGAACGTAGATCCTCCACAGCTGCTGTATGGCTTATATCTAGCGGAGCAACCCTAGCCGCAAACACATCTTGGTACTGATCCTGTGCATGTCAATCGATCAATCAGTCATAACGCCCAAAAGGATTCTATGCGTGTAGTGGGGAGTACTTACCATGAGGCTGCCTGGCGCTAGTAAGCACTGGAGATGGAGACGTTATAGTCGCGTTCGTGGGAATTTACGGTAGCGCTCCTTTTGCTCGTTTAACAACATCTGCCTGGTCGGACTCGTTGACGAGAGCGCGTTGAACTTTGGCACCCTGAAAAATAGGTGAGTAGCGACCAATCAAGACCAAGGTATTTGCTCCGGTGCCCGTACCATTTGTATTTGCTCCTCGATGCGTATTTTGGTCTTACGCGATGACGATTTGATTGTGAGTTGAATTCATCATATAGTGCATGGAATGGAATAACGCTGAACTCGTATGATACAAGGTGTAAGAACACCAATATAAGGCTGCATAGGCCATGATAGAGTGAACTCAAGGACTTGTACAATGGTTGTTCCAAATCCAATCCGCCGATGCTGGTGAAACCTGCCAGACTATTTCAATCAGCCAAATCGGGACGGTTTGCGGCCTCCGAGTCTATTGGATACTTCGTGGATACTCGCTTCTAATATGGAATGGTGAGGCTGGAGCTTCCAACTGATATTCACGTCATCTTAGGTCTACCCACATGTTGAGCGATATCGTCGAATGAAACGTTCTAGCTGTGAACATCCCATGTACCCTCCGTCCCGCCCAGAAGGTTCGCACTTCTCGAAGGCTTTCAAGACCATCACATGCTCGTAAATTCAGGCTAATCGTCCCTATCCAAATATAGCGTCCGTAGTCATCCGACAGCCCCTTCACTCATCCCCGGCGTATGTTACGGGAGCAACTGCTTCTGAGCTTCATTTCGCCGAATCCACTTGCTTGCTAGACATCTGTGGTCCGACACGGCCCCCTTCTCTCCTACGGCAATTTCTCGGCCCTCTACTTTGATCGTCGATACTCATGCTACGGGATGTGCTATGCGAGCTATTTTCCGATTGTCCGAGGTTGCTGAGTTAGCCGCTCTACTTCCCAACCCCAACCCCCCCACATGGTCTCTTCGTATATAAAGCCACAGCAAACCCAACTTCCTACCTCCAACGCTAGCCCTCCGAACAGCCGTGCAACATGCTGACCTTACTGAGCGCAATAATTTTCATACTTGCACCTGTGGCCTTAGCCCAGCAGTCAGCCTGGGGACAATGTAGGTGACACCCAAGCTAATGGAAGGCATATTGACGAAGTCGCTCAGGTGGGGGTATCGGCTGGACTGGCGCTACTACTTGCGTCTCAGGGTATGTTCTGTTGTCTGTTTACCGGCTTAATCATGACGATCTTCGTATAGGAGCGTATGTTCTAAGCAGAATGATTGTATGTTTATTCGTATGTAGAGGCGACCGAAAGCTGAACACGAGTAGGGTATAGCCAATGCATTCCTTCAACAGCAGCTCCCGCACCCAGCTCTACAACGGTGGCAACACCTTCTTCCACGCCTATTCCTCCTCCTGCTGGTGTCAACTACTGGTTCAGCTTGTATGTTCGTCTCATGCATCAGCAAGATTCCTAAAGTTACCAAGTCCTTTACAGCGGCGATTCATACACGCAAACTGGCTTTGACCCCTCTGGTGCCATTCCATCGCTTGCAAACCCAATAGGGAACCCCCCGTTCCCTGGATTCACTGCCACCGGCGGAGCCAACTGGGTCGGATTTGGGACAACCACCTTCAACAAGTCGAAGATCTTCACATATAACTATGCCTACGGCGGCGCGACTATCGACGCGAACCTCGTCGCTCCATACACGCCTACCGTCATTTCTCTCACTCAACAAGTTGACCAGTTCCTCACTACAGTAGCCAACAAACCTCCCTCGACGCCGTGGACCAGCGCCAATTCCCTGTTCTCCGTTTTCATTGGAATTAACGATATTGGGAACAGTTACTACTTGTCGGGCGACCGGGCTGCGTGCGTTGCCTTCATCAAGGGTTATAAGTGATTGTTGACGTCAGGAATACGCAGTTTCTCTGACACTCTTCTGAATGCCGAATTTGCCCTTGTACAGAAATTAGTACGTCGTTGTTCATCTTCATTTTATTTTTTCGTACTGACTGTCTCACAGTAGTAAGCCGACTCTGGTTGCGAGCCTTCAATACTGATACTGAAAGCAATCATGTAGTGATTCTGGAGCAAGGAATTTCCTCTTTGTCAATGTCCCACCTATCGACCGTTCTCCTCTGGTACGAACATTGCCTGATAATCATGCACGTCTGTGTTTATTCCAACCAACCCAGATGCTGGCACAAGAAGCTTCGGCCCAAAGCGCAGAAAAGACGGTTATCCAGGGCTTCAATACAAAGCTCGCAGCAAAAATAGCCGCATTCAAAGCCAATCACACTGGCGTAAGTACTGTGTATCGTTTTAGATTTCGGGGCCACGTTGATGGATAGTGATCAGGTTGAAACTTACACGTGGGACTCGAGTGCCACATTCACTAGGATATTGGACTCGCCCACAACGTACGGGTTCAGAGATGCCACTACTTTTGGCGATGGGACTGGCATATTCTGGGGGTGGGTCTCAAACGCAGCTGTCTGTTCCTCATCGACTGACGATATCCATGTTGGAATCCAGAAATAACTACCATCCTTCAAGTAAGTTGAATCGCTTGCTGCTGCGTATTTTCGATGACCTGAGATTGTGGTAGGTCAAGCCCATCAACTTTTCGCGCAAGACGTTGCCACAGTTCTCCAAAGCACCATTTGGTAAAGCCAGACAATGATTGAAGGACGGGCCTGCGATTTTAGCCGAGCAACTATATGACATAACCAGTCGTTAACTATGGAGGCCCGAATCCAGCTAATCAGAATTGCGGTTTCGCGAACTATACAAATACCTTCAACTTCATACTTCAAGCAATGAGGTAACAAGGGCAGTCGGCAAGGTGATTTGCTAGGGCTAAAGGGATGCACCTGCTTCGTAGCCCGAGTGCGTTGTAGACCCTCGTTGTCACCTTCGAGGACGCAAATCTTGAGACGACTGAGACCGCCAATAACCTCGCGCTGCCCTGTGTGTTAGTGTCCGATATCTCAGCCGCCAAGGACGAGACGTACGCAAGCCTCCACATGCGCGAGGTGAATGTTTTGATTTTCGCACATGCGTCCTCTGATCTGAATCCTGATATGCCTCGCTCTGACTTATTGAGTCGCACGACGCCGCACGCGTCGACCCACTCCCGGCGTTTCCGCTCATCGTCGAAGGTGAAACCCTTCCCCTCCTTGCGACCACATCGTAGCACGCTGCTTCCATGCGCACGTAGTATGTATGTGCCTGGTACGACAGGGTCTGACCTCGAGTGTTGCTGCTCTAAGCCAGTGGACAGGGAAAGTGAGTGCGATAGACTGAGTATAAATACGTTCGATGTGTATCTACGATTCTTCAGCTGGTCTCACTCACCTCTCCTACTGTCAACTCCCTGTTCCTGTGCTGGTCACCGGTCTACCCATCCTCGCTACCACGATCAAGACATTCACTGACGCTTGACACCAACGCCTTCAACACAGATAATTGATAATGGTCGGATACGCCTACCCCTCCTCCACCGTCCTGGTCGCAGCTCTCGCCATCATCACGCACGCTACTCCCATATATGCCACCCCCTTGTCGTGAGTTCCTTCTATTTGTCTGTCTGTCCACCCTGCTTCGTCCTGCCCGTATGTGTATCGGTCGACTAACCGCCTGCGTATGTCCTTCCAGTGCGCCAAACGCCCATGCTAATGCTCACGAGGCTTCGCACCCCCGCGACGGTGGCGATCAGCGACTTGCACTGGATCTTGAGGCTCGTGCCCTCTCCATGAAGCACGTCATGGGATCCGCTGCGATGGCAGCCGCCCTCCAGCCGGTTATCAATTATTTCGTCAACCCTCCTAAGAAAGAAGAGCCCAAGAAGGAAAAAGAGCAGCAGCAAAAGCGAGATATCGTCGACGGGGCTGAAGATCCTTTGTTCCCGTACGTACTCGCGTGCGCGCAGGTGTATGATTTCCTCTAACCAGTTTGTCCATGTAGACGCGCATTTCCTGACAACTTCGAGGACGGTAACGGGTCCCTCGAGCGGCGCCTTGACTGGAAATCTGCGGGCAAATACTACGGCCCCGGACTCTTGGGTGCTGCGCTCACGCCTATGTTCACGCATGTTCTGAACCACGTGGCCGGGCGTTCTTTGGACGACGAAAAGTCGGGACTGAGCGGCGAGGATATGAAGGAAATCGTTGCGCGTGCGCTCGAATCACTCCAGGACCTAGAAAACGTCGGCCGCCTCGAAGCTCGTACCACGCCTCCCCGAACGGGCATGTCCGCGAAGACAAAAGACCGCCTCATGACGTGGGGTCCTGCGGCCCTGGGGGGGTTGGTATACCCCGTGGCGTCACTAATCATGGACAAGGTGCGAGCGGGGCAGGATAGTAAGGAGAAGAGGGAGTTGAATGAGATGTTTGCTCGTATGCTGATTGAGGGTGGGTTGGATTCACTTGATTAGATGGTGATTATATATATATATACATAAATCGTGGACGTAGTAGTTCTTGACAACGACCAGCTAACGCCAGCCTTTAAAAGTCATTTGCGTAACGCCAGCTATTGAACGGCCCAAGTGAGGAATTTGGTCGAGTTAGGCGCCAACGCCAACTGTTTTGCAAACGGCAATAAGCAACTGGCAATCTCAAACTCAATGACATAAAAGTCACTTTCTCGTACAAACGGCCATTCAATAAAGATCATCTACTTAGCAGTTGTAGCATCTTGACTGCCATCAAGTTGCGCGCTACTGATATCACGCCTCTTCTCGCCGCTTCTCGTCTTCGCTCGCTACGGTATTCTCCCTTCATATAAACCCGATGTTTAATCTCACGGCAGCATTGGAATGACAGGGCAAACATTAGCTACACACGACGAATGCATTGCACTACCCGCCAATCTTATGAACCATCGTCCTTACTCCCACTTAGACTCCGGAAGAATTCCGCGTACGCATGTTCGATATCGAAAGATAACTCCATGGCGAACAATCAGCACGAGCGGGGGCATATAGAACATTTTGCTCACCTGCCGGGCTTGATCTTCCGTAATCTCCTCCGATGCCTTCATTCCGTTCAAGGTGATTAACCTGGTCAACAGCCGAATTAGGCCAAGGCGAACGCATATGCCGTGCGGTACCTACCAGCCAACCATTCTACTTCGGCCCTCCCAGTCTTTACTGCCCTTGAAGCGAGCGTAGCTAGTCACAAGTTCTTGCAGCATAGGATGCAGTTGATCCTTGGCCCGTAATCGTAGTTTAAGAGCATCCATAAACGTGATGAAGTTCTAGACGAATCCACCGATGTTAACGAAAGAGCGCAGCGTGGTGACGAGGGTATTACCTGGGTTGTTTCTGCCACCCACTTCGCCGTCTCAGGGCCCGCTTCACTGGAATGTTCAACCGTGGCCGGGACACCGACTTTTACCCTGTGCAGTGCTGCTGGGTTGTCCATCTACAGTAAAATCGCTACGTGAGCATGTTATGGGCTTCCACATATAATATGGCCACGCACGTTATATCTCTTCATGAATTCCTCTGTTGATGGTACGTCGTCCCCTACCAACTTCAGCATGGTCTTGTACTGAGAGAGGAGCCTCGTGCATGCTGGAGAATATCTCTTTGGTCGTTCCGTGGCGACTTAGCTTTCATTGGACACGGTGGAACAGAAACCGCGTACTCACTCTGCTGCGGTAATGGAATCACGGACGTAAGCGCGTTCAAGGTAGTCCAGTGCAACGATGATGCCAAAGAGAGTCGCTTGGAGATTGTATTTCTCTCTCTCCGAGTTGGTAGAGTATAATCTGGCTTCTTCGTCTAGTGAAAGTTGTCCCGATGCCATGGAGGTGGGAAGGAGCTGCATCTTATCGACGAGCGCTTGATTATGGAGTCCGGGGCTGCAACTGAAGGCCCTCCGACATGGACCATGGATGGATCCGACATCGATCACCAGTATTAGGAATATTTCAACGGTAATCGCATGTGGACAGACGTAGGCCGGTTCGTAACTTGTGTATCAATGTTCCCCCTTCCCTTCTTAACTCAGAGCTTATGGTTGATCACATTACTAGTTAGTACTTCCCGTGGAATCTGCCTCGTGGAACTAACTTTCTTGAAGCTTATAAGTGCGTGAGTGACCTGCAACGTATCACTGGCACGTACCCACCGATTATAATCCGATATGAGGATAGCTGTGACAGGCTGCCGTGGTTCTGTAGGCAAACGAGTGGTAACCTTGGCACTCAAGCGAGGGCACACCGTCCTTGGGATCGACAGGGAACCAGCGGAGTACATCGACGAACGCGCTGACTATGTATATGTGAAGCTGGATTTAACAGACTACAGCACCACTCTAGACACCTTGAAGGGGTGTGATGCGGTAGTCCATCTCGCAGCTTTCCGCAACCCCGGTGACTATGGTGTTACTACACACAACAAGTAAGGCTCTGATGCACTGTTTGTCAATTTACTGTTTTGATGTGGCTAACAATTCCATACAGCAACGTTGTATTGTCCTGGAACGTCCTTCGGGCGGCGGCCGAGGTCAGGTTGAGCCAGTTGGTGGATTTGTCTCTGCTCATGACGGCTTTCGTAGTTGGGGATTACCCGGGTAGCACAAGCTTCCTCAGTCAACGTCATAACGATGGTGTACAGTCAAGCTCCCCACTTTCATTATTTCCCTATCGACGAAGACCACCCGTGTCTACCTGACGAGCCCTACGGACTATCCAAAGTGTGAGCGCCTCGTCCGTCTGCGGCGTTGAACATCCTCTGAATTTGCTGGGTTATAGCATCTGTGAACTCCAGGCGGATACGCTAGTGAGGAGGTATCCTTCCGTGCGTATCGCAAGCCTGCGGTTGCATTGGTCCGTGGCATCCAAGTTGGCTGCCCGAAGCCTGGAGGCGTCCAAGGCAAGCAAAGATCTCTGGGGATATGTGCAGGAGGATTCCGCAGCAGAAGCTTTCCTCTTGGCCTTGGCGAAAGAGAATACAGCGTGGGCAGGCCACGAGAGGTTCTTCATCGTCGCACCGGAAACCACGCGCGACGAAGAGTCTTCCAAACTTGCTAGAGAGCATTGGCCGGAGGTTCCTCAGAGCCATGCATTAGTTGGGAGACAATCTTTCTTCGACTGCGGAAAGGCGGAGAGACTGTTGGGTTGGGTCCACAAAGAGTGAGGATCGTTGTGTCGGACGAGCATTCCTTGTAAAATCGAAGAGCACCTTGAACTCCGGAACATCCACGAAAGATCTCCATCATAAGATACCTTTGAGCAGGATGTTGATAGTCACCCTATCTCTCACATTGCAAAGAAAGTGCCTGAATGTCTCAGCGCGAGCCATGTCACACTCGAGGGGAGCTAAAAAAACAATGCTCGCATCGTTCGTGATACGGATTTAGAGCTTGATTGGCACGATGAGCACGGAACAACCCGAGTGATTCGGGTTGATGGACGTCTGGTTCGCATCGGGTGCGGGTCTGCGTAATATGGCACTGGAGGTGGCCCAAAAGGCTTCCCGACCAGACCGTAAATCTTGTTGGCTGTCACGGGGCATAAAGCGGCGCGGTATCCTAGTAGGCAGTGTGAGACGGGGATTCTGCTGATCGGTGTAGCTTACGCGCACCTTGGGCCAACCTTGGGCTGATAGCGGCCTTCGCAAGGACGCGGGTGGGCAGGCGATGAACGTGCAATGTAAAGCGAAGGTTCGGCACGAAACTCAGATCTAGATCGTGGGAAAACTGATTAAGGTCGTCTCCTCAGTGCATACTGCTTTTTCCAGTTCTCAGCGACAGCTCAACGAGTAAGTGTGTTGCATGTTATATTGTGTACTGGGACGAACATGAAGGCTGATCTTCACCATCACCAGCAAAGTATTATCCTCGTGGCTCTCAGGCGGCCAGTCTAACGCAGGGTCGCACGACGCACCTTTTCATCGACCTATAATCTAACGGTTAACCGTTTAAAAGGGCTTCGACGATGACCAACAAGAAGAACAAGCAGCGCAAGAGGCCCGCCGCATCAAGCGACGCCGCAGCTGGTAACGAGGGGTCCTCAAGCCCAAGCACTGATGCAGGAGATCTCAATAGAAGTGGGCAATCCCCTGAAGCTTCGACCAGTCCACTGTCACCGACGACTGAGCCTGCGCAGGAGGACCATATTGCGCTAGCAGAGAAGACGAAAGAACGGGGGAATGTCGCGTTCAAAGAGAAGCGGTTTGCCGAAGCTGTCGAGCTGTACACATCTGCGATAGGTGCTTCTTTCTCTTCACTCTTTCCATCTTGTCGTGCTCAGTTCGCCGAAATACACCTACAATTTCCCCAATACCATGCTCAAACTCCGTAGATCTGAACCCGAATGAGCCTGCATACTTGACCAATCGCGCAGCATCGTATATGGCTATGAAACGCTTCCGGCCAGCCTTGCAAGACTGTCAAGTTGCTCTTGCCTTGCAATCATCCACCCTCCCACCCCCCTCAAAAACTCTCATACGATTAGCGAAATGCCAGCTTGCTCTTGGCTCTACGACCCGTCATTTCGTCCGAACCCTCAAACGTCGCTGCCAAACAACTACAGCGGCAAATAACGCAGCTTGAATCACACTTGAAGACATTTGAAAAGTCTCGTGCGGACAGCAATTGGGGGATGGCCCGACTGGCTTTGGACAAATGCTTCCAGGGCATTGAGGGCGAAGGGGGAGAAGTTCCAGCGGACTGGAGACTATGGAAAACAGAGCTGGAGTTGGCACGGGGCGCATTGGAGGTTGCGAGTGGGTCAGCGAAGTGCGTATCCTGATGCTCGTGACAGTTACCCTCATATATCTTGCATTCTCGAAGTGATGCTCTTCGGTTAAACCCAAATTCGCCGGATATCCTTGCATTACGAGGATTGATACTATTCATCTCGGGGAAGCTGCCGCAGGCCCTACAGCACGTCCAGTCAGCTCTACGGTTAGATCCCGACCATCCACGAGCGCAGAAGCTGCGTAAACGTGTGAAGGATATTGAACGGCTGAAGGAAGAGGGCAACGTACTCTTTAAACAAGGCTCCCTCGAACCTGCGATAGAAAAATATACTGAAGCTCTGGAGGTAAGGACAACAAACGCCCTACGAGCAACGCGCCTTAACCTCCAATTCAGCGCATCGGGGCCGCTGATGATGAGTGCAAAGGAGGCTATATCCGCGCCACTCTCCTTTCCAACCGAGCAACAACACTACTGAAGGTAGACCAGTTTCCCTTAGTTTGGCTCTTGTCGACGTTAACACTGCTTTTCCCAGCTCGAGCGATACCAAGAGGCCCTGGAGGATACTAACGTATCCATCGAGCTCAATGACTCTGCGTTTAAGGTATACCGCACTCGTGCGCGGATAAACCTTGGTCTTGAGGCATTCGAAGAGGCCGTCCGAGATTTCAAGCGGGCGATAGAGCTCGCTAACACCGACGGACTTACCGGGCCGAGCGACGTCCGATCACTGCAAAACGAGCTTCGGAAGGCAGAAGTCGCGCTTAAACAGAGCAAGACGAAGGACTACTACGGTATTTTGGGTGTTAAGCGAGATTGCACGGAGATCGAGATCAAGAAGGCCTACAGGATGCAGAGCCTGAAACACCACCCCGACAAGGTATGTGGTTTTGTAGGACGTTTTAACGGGACTGGTGTATTCACTTTGCGCGCAGGGAGGAGATGAGGAGAAGTTCAAACTTGTCGTCGAAGCACACGCTGTGCTTTCAGACCCTCGTCGGCGTCAGCGGTACGATATGGGTGAAGACGATGAGCCTTCCGGTGGCGATCAATTCAACGGCGGCTTCGCTCACATGGACATTTCCGAATTGCTTGCCCAATTTGGAGGCGGCGGCGGCGGCGGCGGATTCCCTTCTGGCGGCTTCCATAGTGGCCATAGTCACGGCGGCGGTCGACAGCGGTACAGCCAGGGCTACCCGTTCTAGTCGTGCTCGATCTTATGCATATGTCCTCCTTTCATCTCTCGTCGTATATTGCTGTGCAGTGCTTACAAGACAAGTAGAACATCCCTTCTTTGTGTAAGAGATGTAGCAAAACCATCCCTCCTTTGACTATTCCAGCCCCTGTCTGTTCAGCCGCCTCTCACCCGAGCTCATGGGGCTACCCTTACTAGCAAGGGTTACCTGGGAGACATCTACAGTCTTACTCACGATTATATCTCTCAGAATCGACGGGGTTCAGCCTATTTCAACACCCTCGATCCACGCGGGCCAGTCCCTTGTGGCGTTTTCGTCATCGTCGACACCGCAGAACCTATCCCTACGGTGGTAGGCACAAGCCTGTCTTCGTCAATGTCAACTCAGTGCTCACTGTAACCTCAGGACGGCGATGTTCTTTTATACGGCTAACCAGTTGTTAACATGTGCCTAGGTCGTTGATTCTATTCCAGCTTGGATGCCAATAGCTGCTCGATCGTCATGAGGGCCAGCCTTCCTTCATATAGCCTCTGGGAGACTGCCTGTCACATAGGGGACGTTCACTACTTACTGGCGGTGCAAATATGATTATGCGACATCCAATGCAATATCCGGACATTATTTCGTGAAAATTGAACGGCCCCCTCTCTAAATGTGCTCTGAAGTGCAATCCCTGGCCCCATGTGGCCTTGTGAAGCTGTCACAGATGGGTAGTTGAAAGAGTAACTCGAACTCGCTCAGCGGATCATCTCAAAGAGCTAGGTTGGCCAATGGCAGTGTGATCATCGTCAAGACATACATTTCTGACTTCTCGGTGATAGCGCTTTCTTTTCCTACGGTGCGTTCGCAAGCCGATGCTCCATACCCTCTACGCCGGGATCATGACCCAACGTTGATTTCCATTTGCAGCCTCCTTTCCAAACCCCACTGCCTGGTCTACTTGAGCCTCGGGGAGACCCCAGAAAACGGTCACGTCGCCATCTTGAATTCTACGCATGAATTGTCAGTGAGAAGGGATGCTCGAACGTCGATCGAACGTACGTGGCTCCCGAAGGCGTGTTCCTCAAGGTCCACACATAACCTCCAGGAGAAAGTACTTTGATCACGCCTGAGCCCATTCCAATCTGCAAGTGTGGGCTAGACACCGGCGATACGGTTTGGGTCTTGCCGTCACTGTAGTCTCTGATAGCCCACTGAGCAAGACAACGCACAGTACATCAGTCAAGACGATGACAGAAGCTAACGGGGATCTTACAGCCTGATTGGTTGCGTTTATGAGGGTAACGGTGACGGTGTTGTTTTCCCCGTTGAAGGTCAGTGCGAGCTTCTGTCCAGACGAAGAGAGCATGCGGTTGACGATGTAGTAGGTTCCCTGGTTGAACATCGCGCTTCGTGAAGTAGTGCTTGCCATGGTGCTTTCTGTGCAGTTATCTTGCACCAACCTATAGCCTGTTATTTATATTGTCTTCTAAATGCCCGCGCGCTTGGAACGAAGAACGTCTCACTTCCACCGGTACTTTGTTTACAGCAACACTACGATCAACGCCTGCTCGTTGCACGAACGTGCATTTCGAGCGAGTCTCTAAGAACCCTCGTAGTGAACTCGATAGCTAAAATATAAGTCACCAGGGCTTCTCTTAATCTGTTCGCTATGCACAGAAGCCAGCAGTTGTGGACGAATACATGCAATCGGAACCTGGTGAATTTCGTATGTCCCAGGACAGAGGTAGAATTCACTCACTTCCGAGCTTGATCCTTCGCGGGTACGATCCTAAACATACTCAGATACAAACTACTGTTAGGCCAAGCGCAGCAGTCGTGCGAGAACGTTTGACCAACGTTTGACCAACTTTTCACCATGACTCTTCACCCTTCAATGCGAAGCTACCACATTCTAGCCGCCACAACTTTATTTGCAACACCATCATATCGAATACGTATCTGCTAGACCAACGTACATTTCGAAATAGTCTCTAAGAACACTGGATGTGAACTTGAGAAGCTTAAAGAACAACGAATAGCAGGACATCTCTCAGCCTACCCGCGCTATGGGACCAGGTGACATCCGGATTATGTTCGAACCCCCATTCTTCCCCAAGATGTAGGTGGAATGCAATTTCTTCGTAAGCTTGTTTGACCTTAGTGACACAGTCCTAAATATATGAGGCAGCGAGCATTCGCGCTGACGGCAGATCTCCCCCATTAGCTGCACAAACGGGGGTTGAACATACATCGTGGTTCAAAATACACGAAGCTGGATAGAGATGCAGCCGAATCATTGGGCTAGGATGAGTCATTTGACTTGGCAAGGATCATGACTTTACTTCCGAAAAAAGCTTGACAGCACTCAGGGCTTGGGCTATTCTACACAGGAATCAAGATCCAACGCTGATTCCCTCTTTCATCCTCATCCCCGAACCCTACTTCCTGATCAACATTGGCATCGGAAAGACCCCAGAAAACAGTCACAGCCCCATCTTGTATACTGCGTGGAGTGTCAGTAAGAAAAATGGCGATGGTGACTCGAACGTCAGTGGGAAACACCTACGTAGCTCCCGTTGGGGTGTTCCTCAAGGTCCACACATAGGCCCCAGGGGGTAGGACTCGTATGGTGCCAGGACCCATTCCAATCTCCAAACGTGATTTAGGCGCAGGCGACACAGATTGCGTTGCGCCGTCGTAGTAGTTCCTGATGCACCACTGCGAGTGGAATGATGACTAGATCAGAGCAAGGGCGTCATGGAAAGATAGAAGTGAGCTTACCGCCTGATTCGTCACCTTCACCAGAGGGGTAACGGTGACAGTGTTCCGTTCTCCATTGAAGGTTAGAGCGAGTTTCTGTCCCGCCGGTGAGAGAACACGATTCACGATGTAGTAGGTCCCCGGGTTGGGCATGGCACTGGCTGAAGCTGATGTGTGGCCGACCATGGTGGTTTGAACGTGTATGAGTCGAGCGTACTTTCCTAACCATTCGTTATATACGCTGGAATTTCAATGTCCGCGAACTAGACATGATGCCGGAAGCTGAGAAACAATTCTGAAAGGCGATGCTCAATGTGTACCCCATCGGCACAGGATCTTACTGTGGTCTCATAGCCGGTGTTCTGGAGGAAGCGCGCAACATCAGTGGCCATTCAAAAGAGACGTCCCGCTCTACAAGTAGCAACGAGGACAATGTCAATGCAATTCTCCCGCGGAAGTACTACAGCGATAGGTGTCAGTAGGAAGGTATGATATACAGGGATAGGACACACGTACAAAGTACCTGTTGCTGGATTCGTCTTGTTGCACTCCCAGCCAAACAAACGCTGGAGAAAGACATTTCAGGTCTCGGTGTTGAAGCTTCGAATGGCTAAAGAATATGTAGGGGCCAACAGATTACTGCGATTCGAATGACAAGGATATATAGTACTGACAAATAGTAAATAGGGTATAAGTAGCCAACGTAACCCTGTTCGTCAAGGCGACCAGAGTATGAATGACCATTCACAAAAGAAGTAAAGTGGACCCAGGCCCAAAGGCGCAACGAACACAAGCGCACGGATGAAAAAGATAGGTACACTGAGGCCCCAAAGCAATTGACCGAGCAAGGAGGATATCGCCTGCACCCCTCCTGCCGACATTTGGCATCCAAGAAATCAACAACAAACCCGATCGAGAAATAGACAAGAGGATATAGGTGATCGCAGAACACCACAGCCGTAGCCGCAGGCACACGCTGTGGCCAAGGGTAGCGAGTACGAGAGATAGTCTTTTCAAAAGATTGCTTGGTGTATATGCATATCGTTCTATCGCACAAAATATTACCGTCGCGTTTCCATAGTTCAAAGTCACCGTGGAATCGAGGGGTTTAGAAGCCACCGTAGGCGTCGCCTTCGTCATAGACAGTAGCAGGTCTGTCGCTGGCTGGCGGAGTGGGGCGTTGAACAGGCGCAGGAGCGCTAGGTTGAGGAGCCTTCGGGGCTTCGTTTGCAGCAGGTGGTTGTCCTTGAGCTGGGGCCACGGCCGCGGTTGGTGCCTCGAAAGTTAGGCTGCTAGCCAGGGGGCTAGGGACGGGGGTCGTAGGGAATCTGTCCTTCTGTCCGTTGAAGTCATCGTAACCTGAAACCCGGGCCTGAACATGGATCTCTGGGAGGGACGGCGGGATAGAATCAACGCGAGCATGTTGCACAGCGGCGGGGGTGGGCGGGGCAGGAAATTCAAGGTCAGAGGATGGGGAGGGAGCGGGTTGGTCGTAAGGCGATGGTAAGGCTCTGGAGAAGCGGGATGGTTCAGGATCGGCGAACGGAGACGGTTCTGCAGCAACAGCATCCATATATTGATTGACGGCTGGTGTGCTCAAACCGGCGGGAACAGCCGTGTTCAGCTGCTTAGATATCTCGGCATATTGGGTCGCTTGATACGGGCTGACGCTCGAGCGAGTGAGGTCGACGTAGTCGCCTTGTGGTGCGGAACTAACGGTGGCAAGAGACGCATGACCCTGCCTATCGTCGGGACCATAAGATGGCACCCGGTTGAAGTGGTCTCCATGGACGGGGCCGGCAGAGAGCTGTCGATTGAGTACGCCTGCGGCACCTACGCCTGCGACGTGGGAGTAAGCAGAGTCATATGGCGCGACATGCGGAGAGCCGGGAGAAGCAGGGGTGAAAGGGGATTGTGCATACGGCGAGACAGCATTGTAGGATGCGGCATTGTTGTTGTAATGATAATCAGGAGACCCAGAGGTGGGTGGGGGAGACATTACTTCGCCAGGACCGAATGAGCCGTAGTTATTGTATCCTGTGGCACCGTATCCACCGTGAGGGCCGCCGTACCCAGCATTAACGGGAGTACTATTGGCGAGTTTGCGTTCGATCATGCTTGGTGGACGTGGGTTATATCCACGGCTAACTGTATCCTCGTGGGTGGGTGGGTCGTTCATAAGGACTGCGGAACGACGGAAGCTATCCGGGTCAAAGGCATTTTCATCACTACGCTTGCGCCAACGCCGCTGTTCAGACGGTTAGTGGATCCACAAGGAATAAAAATAATCACTGACAACTGCATAAAACACCCCAAACACGACAAGTGCAACCCCCACAAGTCCGGCTCCGATACCCCCAACTATGGCGCCAGTGCTTGAGCTAGATGGCCCTGAGTCTGGCGCTGCAGAAGAGGATGCGATGGCGGCAGAAGAGGAGGATGTCCCAAGAGCGGGAGCGACATTCCTTGACAATGTGGACAATGGGGTTAGCAAGGATGTTGTCGTTCCACCATTTGAGACTGGCGTTGCAACTACAACGGATGTCAGTGGGGTCGTGGTAGTAGGGGTGCTAAGAACAGCGTCAGCGGCTCCTTCTGTAGTAGTGGGGAGGACAGTAGGGACAGCCACAGTGGGAGGGATCGTGGTCGCGGTCGTGGTCGGAACAACTGGTGTGACTGGACGGTTAGCAGCGGGCGTTGTAGTAACAGGTCGGGGCGGGGGTTTGACTGGGTTGGGAGTGGTGACAGGACCCGAGGTCGTTACCGGTGTAGAGGGAGGAGTGACGCTGGCTGCGATGTTACAGGTTCTATGAGACCTAGCAAGGCTGATACAATGTAGAAACGACTTACGGGGCGTTGAAGTAGGAGTCGGCTCCAGATCCGTCTCAGTCATGCCTGGATAGATGGCCGTTGGGCTGAACCGGGGGTGAAGGCGAATTCCAGCTGGGACCCTGGCGAATTTGCGATTGTGCGTTGCTGGTGCACGTCTGTGGGAGATCATGACTGCAGTTCTGTGAAGGAGTGTCGGTGGTAAGGAATGTGGTGACCCAGAAAACTGAGTAAAGAAGAGCGGGGAGCAAGGATGGGGTCAAACTCGCAAAATCGTCCTTTCGTGAAAACCGTCACATCATTGTCACAGGGTTATGTAACTTTCACAGACATAATCACAGTACTTTAAAAATAACTACACACAAGCATTCACGAACTCTGGTGAAAGACCAACTTGTAAGGGGAAATACCATCAAATGAGTGCGAAGCATCACTCACTGATCCGCCGCCTACGGCAATGCTGGACGCGACTGCAGCAGCATCCACGGAAGTTGACGTCGCAGAAACATCTGCAGTGGGCGCTGTGGTGGAAGAAGTTGACGTTGCAGTGGGCTCAACTGAAGTTGAAGAAGCTGAAGGAGCACTGGCGGAACTTGGGGTCTCCAGAATGATATCAAGCGCTGCAGGCATAGTCGAGGAGGCCAAAGGCGCTACCGTTGTGGACGTCGTCGCGGAAGTATCCGTCATCAAGGATGATGACGAAGTATCGGGAGTCGCAGACACTGTCACGGTCGCCGTTGAGGTGGAGGTTTCGGTGGCTGTGATAGTACTTGTGTATCCCGCGCTTGTGCTCGACGGCTCCGGTATTTCTTCGTTCGTAGGAACGAATTTCATCTGGACGCTGTCCGCATCGGCACGTTGAGCAAGCCCGCCCTTGTCCTCCTTAACCTGAGCGATACCCGATGCATCGTTAGCAGCGCTAAACTTGGCAGGCCGTAGTTCGTTGGTCTCTGGGTTGAAAGAGAACATTTGACTCTTTGACTGATTCTCTTCCCCACATGGACGCATCTCTATCGGGCTTCCCGTCGCTGGCGGGTCCCTGTCATATGTAGCACAGTAGTCCTGCGTCAACATATAATCTTTGTTATAGACGGGAACCTGTAATTGGACGGCCTTGTCGGAATTGTTCTCTGGGTCGGCGCTTGACACGTGGACCATCCTCATCTCGGTCTGCTTCTTCTCGCAAGCATCAAGGAGAAGTTTGCCCTCTGCTGGCTCCATACACATAGAGGCCAAGGTCTTATCCGGCGAGTTGGTAGATCCGCTCTGTCGATGTGGGTAGATCAGTTGATGGATCGCATACATCCGGAATCTCGTACCATGATGACCACTGTTCCTGTAGCGCCTTTGGTGCTCTCATCTCTACGACTGATAGTGATTTCAAGCTCGCCACCTGCTTTCAGCCTGAGAAAGTCACGGCCATGATGATGGTGATGGTGATGGTGATCGTCGTCATCTTCATCGTGGTGGTGGCGGTGGTGGTCATCATGGTCGTGATCGTGATCGTGGTCCCGACGACCCAAGTGCGATCTCGTAGCTGACGCTGAGAGCAGGGCCTGCTGGCGTTTGGAGATGCTGCCACCCTGACGCCGGGCTGGACCATTCATGGCGAATGCGGCCATTTTGGCAAAAGGATTTGATGCAAACATGTTGGCGGCTGACTGTAAACATTCCGATGAGCACAGGGAGGAGTGGCGAAACGAAGCAACGTACGCGCTTGTGAGCCTCTTTAAGCTGCTTATGGCTACGTCCCTTGGCCGCCTTGTGGCCCTTCGGAGCGGGGATTACCGGAGGCTTAGAATGTTTGTGGGCACGATCCGAGTGAGTTGCGCGGTGGCTAAGGTCGTTGGAAGTGGTATCCTGAACTGGGGCACCTGTGACACCCGCAAACCAGGCAAATGCGACCAGAACAGCAAGGCGGGAAGAAACAGCAACCATGGCGAATCAAGTGAAGTGGTCGTTACGGAAGATTTTCAAAAGGCGTGTGTGTGTGTAAATTAAAGAAAACTGAGGCGATACCAGTCGCAGGAAGTATAGTAATGTGGAAAGAAAGTTGATAGAAGATCACCAGGATCGAATGATGAGGGAAGGAAAGAAAGAAGGGTGGGGTCTAAATTTCGAGCACGCCCCGTACTTATACTCTCGCTGTCCATGGCTCGGCACTCGTCGGCTGTCGAGAACTGTTGACAAAGTCTCCGTCATGGAAAGACTCGATGACGGATTAGGCAAGGGACTGACCATATTAGGCAGTCGATAGCGGGAAGTCTGTCGGGCTTTCAAACTTCGAGGCTGGCACGTGCCTGGAGTTATGGTTGCGCCTTTACGCACGGACCGGGCTAGTCAATGGCCAGTCTCCGAACGCGGTCGTTGTTGAAGGCGTCCTGCTCGTTCTTTCGATGGACCCGTCATAATTCCACGATCAGCGTAAGTTCCCCAGAAGAATTTGGACTTGTTGGCTAACCTAGAGCACAGGCACTTCAGGCTGCTTTCCGCGACCCATCGTCGCCATTCCACATCGCTCCAGGAACACAGGGCCCTGCCTCGCCGGACGAGCCCCCTTCTTCGGCGCAGTATTCGACTTCGACTACTTCGACGAAGCACGAGGTCTCTCCCGCTGAAGCAGGCCGTCGGCTATTGACGGATCACGGACACGACCCAGAGTCGTTTTGGGAGCAGACAGTGCAATGGGGTGAACACGATTCTTTCCAGTGAGTTCTGCCTCCGTGTAGCTTGGATCCATCTCTCATCGTATATCACATTAAGACATGTCAACAATGTCAACTATCGTGAGTTTGCCTGTTCTTTCCGGATGATTTGTTAGTTCACCTGATGCCTTTAGTTCGATACCTGGAATCTGTGAGTTGTATTTTGGTATAAGAAAGGGGGGCGTACCTCACCGCGTCCTTCGTAGGGACGCATTCACTGGATGCTGGCTTTGGGGCGTGAGATAGGCGGTCCTCAGAAAGCGAAAGACATGATGAGTGGCAAGGGCGTCTCTTTGATCTTGAAGTCCGTGTCCCTCAACTACAAGCGGCCCGTGACATATCCGGACACAGTACGTCTTCCCAAACTTCGCCGTTACGTTCGTTCCCGGACATAACTATCACCAACCCCCCCAGCTTCTGATAGGACATAAACCGCACGTCGTACGCGAGGGCGACAATACTCAGTTCGGGTGCAAAGCGATAATATATTCGTACGCCCAACAGAAAGTCGTCACCACATCAGACTCGACGCTCGTTTGGTATGACTACGACCGTCTATGCAAGACTGAGCCAGATGGACGAATACTGGACGTGCTGCAACGGAGAATGAGGCTTGAAGTATGACGCCTTTTGTTCGGAACACAAACGGAAAACAAACGTAGATGACTTAGAATGGCACACTGACGGTGCTTTGCTTACACGGAGTTGCAGCGTGATCGCACAGTATAGACGGCGTAGATAGCATTTGAATGGATGGAGTTGTTCACGACAGTTGAGCGAACAGGCGAGCATAGGTGCAAAGAAGACGCCTAGCTTGTCGGTAATTGTTACGCGCACGCCTGAGAGGTACGGTTGAGTATGACGACGGCTGTCCTATTGGGATTGCGGCCTTTCTATGCATCAAGCTGCCCCAATGGACCGATCATATGGCATTGTCGACCACGCGTTGATGAGAGCCCAAGCAACACAGCATCTGCCATATTTTGTGGCATCCACGAACGTCGACGGCCGTTCTACCGTGCGTCGCCATCTACGAGCTACTATCAGACGCGGGAGAGAACGTCCAGGTCAAAGAGGTCCTAACTTGGCGGACCACTGAGCAGGGGCGACCCTTTTATCGTTAGGTGTGCTATAGAGGCAAAGAGCAATCTCACAGCTTGCTTTTATTATCGCTTGTCCAAGGGATAACCGTGATGAGGTTACCTTTGCCTTCGAAGGTGAACGCAAGCGTCTCCCCCCTGTGGAGAGAACACGGTTGATGATGGTTATGTCGTAGCTTCCTGGTTCAACAGTCGTCATTGTAGTTCTTGGGCTAGTATATCAGCTGTAGGAGAACTGTGCAATCGAGGGTAGCACTTGCACGCATTGTATGTCATAGGCAATGCCACCATTCCGGTGGAGTAAACGTCAAAAGAATAGCTACTTCTGCTGCAATATGAGCTTCGAAGAGCTTCCTGAAGACACATTGAACATACCGGAGATAATGCATTACCGAATACTGCATACGGCGAGCCCATGCCATCTCCAGCGGGTATTCTGGCGAAGTCGCAACAAAGCATACCCATGGCCGTCACCTGAAGTACCCCGGTTATTCATTCATATGGCCGAGTATCTAGAATGATTGCACGAACTTTTGAGGAGCAACAGCTTCATACTAACTCTGACGGCCAAAGGTTCCACTAGCTATGCCGCTGAGGCTAGGTGATTCAACAAGCCTTTGGTAAATAAGCGCCACGTCGATAGCTGGGCGCTAAACTGACTAGAATTGATTCAATTGAATCCTCTAATTCTGATCCCATCATATATGGACTACAAACGACTGAGTCTTCTATTCAACTCTCAAGTACCGTGCTAGCGGAGGAGATATGCGTTGGCTCCAAAGTCACAGCTCACCACCGTCCATTGGTGAACCAAGATGAAAGTGATGTTCTTGCCTGCGGGGTCTCGGGGCTTGGATGGTTCCGGCCATGGACTCCATTTTGGGGACCGAACTGTGGCCAAAGGCTACATCAGAAGTCGGTCAGAAGACATAATAATCGATGGCGACGGCGAGGACTTCCACCAGCTGACACTGGTGAGTTGACATTCTTGGTTCTGGGGTGCACGGAGAATTCAACACCCGAGCAGAAATACGTGAACATATGCCACCCAAGGCTTCCATCACCTTCGACCGAATTCAAGCCGAACTAAAGTATGGCGAGAGCGACGGTCGAGTGGCCGTTGCGCATCGATAGCTCGCAGGATCATTCCACTATTTAAGCCAGTTCCCCAAACCATGGATCGACAATCAGCCCTTCTCGGATGATGTCTGACTCTCCTACTAAGCCTCACATCGCCCTTGTTGGCACATACTCAGACGACTTCGTGAAGGCCCTGCAAGTCGACAACTTTGATGTCGAGAGATGCGACACAATTCCCGATGTAAGCTGGTCATGTATTTCACAATTTTTGCCCAATTCACATCCGTCTCTTCACACAAGCCCAAGACATGTGCGTCGGCTCTTACGGTGCTAGCTCTTACGGACGGGGACCACACGCTGTCCGAAAACGATATCAACGTCCTGCTACGTGCCAGGACTGTTCTTGCATTATTCAGGCCAAGCCGCGCACTCTTGGAAACCGTCCATAAAGCCACCAATACACCCATCGATATACCAAGTCTGGAACTGGCCGATGAACTTCCACTCTTGGTGTACATGTCAGTGCCATATTGATCGTATGTCGATTTTCACTCATCCACCGGGATAGAGCAAACGGTGTGGTGCACATCACTTCCAACAACGTTCCTAGCGAAGCCAAGGTTCACGAGCTGGTCCAGGGTGCTCTTGAGAAGGACGGAAAGGCTCCTCCAGACGAATCCTTTTCAGTGTCTACAGTGGCAGTTGAACCCCACGAGCAAGCTGTGCTCTCCATCTCTCGTGCCGTTTCTGCGGCACAAAATTTGAGAGCTTTTGTCTCCAATCTTGACCCACCCACCGGTGTGATCGGTTTCAAGAAGTAAGTTCGCGATCTTTTCCTTCAAGTATTCGATTTTTGCTCACTTTTGCACTGCAGGGGCACGCTCGATAATACGACCCGCATCACAATCACTTGGCTCGCTTGGAGGAGGGATGGCCATTACAACGTCACCACCACAGATCCAGCGTATATCCAGAAGTACGACCTAAACTGGTACACCGACTTCTACTCGTACGCAACTGGCACCGATTGCAGGGGTAAGACTGCCGCAGAGTTCACTAATGCAGGCGGCGTTGTATATACCGTTGCCATCGACCGCGGTAGTCTGCGGCGCTCGTCAGACGGCGCGCCACGATTCTTGGGGCCTACTAGTGGATATTGTGGATATTACTTCGTCGACTGCCACCGAACGGGAAACCATGCTGGCTCTTCTATGCGGATGCTGTCCTACCAACCTCGTGGGTTGGATTCGCAGAGTGGTACAACATACAATTGTCAGTGTTGCTATATAACACATCCCCGCTGCATTGCTAAATGCTTCCAGATTCCATCGACTTCCAACAAGACATGCAGATGTTCAATAACAACGGGAATTCCACGTATACGTTCAAGGCCCAATATTCGAATGGCTTCGGCTTGGATCGGTTCCAACAGCACCAGTTGCAAGACTCCGCGGGAGTTGACTTTTCTGTTGATTACAAAGATTACTACGTGAATACTGAGTTCGGGATGCTTTACTGCCAATTCTCACTTGCGTTGGGTGTAGGACCACTGGGTTGATCCAGAATTCGATACCCAAACCTGGTGGAACCCTGGCGTCTATGAGAAGGTGAACAGAGAAGGATGGGAGCATTGGATCGTTCGAGTGGGTCTCTTTTGATGATTGATATCATTATCGATCTCATCATTGGATATCGATTTCTAGGAATACTTACCGGCCGACAACATACCCATCAATGGCTTAACTCTCTTCTCGTCGAGTGTTGGCAAACATACTCTCAGTTTGTGACCCCTTCGCTTCGTGGACGGGGACTTACAAACACATTTCATAGCATCCAAATATCGTTCATCGTTCAGTGCGTTCAAATCCAATGCCTGGCGTACCACTAGCGACGACAGCACTGTGAGTTCATCCCCATTAGTTCATTCAATCCCTCATCAATCCTCATTCTGCCTGGCAGACTCATTTCCAGGTAGCGTGGACTTCGTACTCTAATGGAAGTGGTTGGTCGCGCACCCTAGATTTGACTTGGTCCTTATAATCCGACCTTCTCAGAAAATGTACGATAGGAGTGTCCTTATACAGAATTTGGTGTCCCTGAAAACACACGCTGACGAGCTTTGACGCACCTTCAACTTGCATCGCGACAGTCGGTGCCGAACTAACAGTCCCAGTGTTTTCTGAAGGGGAGACTATCCAGCGGTACGTCGTTCCGAGTCCCAATTGTGGACTTGCCCTATAATTGGTTGATAATTTAAGTACCTGACGGTCTGCAACGTGCCTTGCTGTAAGTGAGTCGTTGAATGTAAGTCCGTGCTTAGGAGGCGAAGCTCACAACGCGTGTTCCAGGAACAGGAAGTATTGCTCTCAGCTATGTCTGATAGTGGCCGTTAACACTAGGAAACTAGTCGCGTCGCAGGACCGCGAATCCTATCGGCGGAACAACACTGTAAACCATCCCAATCGCACAGGCGGCCGATACAGGCATTTGCGAGTGCCACTGCTTTCCATCTCTTTCCGTAAGTGTTGACGTGCAGAGGCCGCGAACCTGACGGAGCGGAACCTTTTCTACCATGATCTACTGAATGATCGACGACAATCAGTATGATTATCTTCTTTCACAGCTGCAACTGTTGATTGTGACTAACTCTAAGACTGCCTTCCACGCCCACAATGCTGTTCGGTACTTCGGTTCCTTTTTAGGCGTCGCCGGCAGTGCCGGCAACATCCCAGCTGTCCTTGGTGAGCGTCCATCGTTCGCAGGTGTCTACATGCAAAACAATGAATGTCACTGGATACACTAAGCGCTCCTTTGCGTCAGCTCTTACCATCGGTGGGGCTGGTGTTGGTGGAATTGTAGCGTCCACGGTTTTCCGTTCCAAGGATGCCCCTGGTTATAGGCCCGGACGTGAGTTTCTACGTGTGTACCCTTGAACAAGCATCTGAAAATTGTTCTCTGACGTTAGTATGGGTCGCTATCAGCGCACAGTTCGTCATCATCCTCACTACTTGTGCCCTCACTGTGTTCTACCACTACAAGAACAAGGCTGTCCGCGAAGGCCGTGCTCCACCAATCGAGGGGCGCCCAGGATTCTATCGTATGTACTGAATAGTGTTAAGCTGATCGCCTAACCGTTTCTGCACCTCCCGGGTTACGACCCATGACTCATCTTGACCATGAATTTCATCGAATTACTACGAGTTGTAGCATACATCGATTCTTTTCTACTTTAATGACCTACATTCCAATTCTATTATTAATGTATTCTACTTATCAATATCAGCATTTACCTGCACAGGAACTCGTCGCAAGCTGGAAAGAAACTCAAGGTTTTGCGACGAGCGCCAATGGCGTTCAACCAAAGTTGTCATCCTCACGATTTATAGCGCTAACAATTTTCCCAGATGAATCGATAATGCTCACTCAGTGGTCTGAAGACCGTCTTTAAGCTCACGGAGAACCTCTTTGCTTTTCGGAAACTCTGCATCTCAGTCAGACGAACATGGCTCCACCGTCATGTTCAGATCCATAGTTACGGTTCCCTCCTTCAAATCCAGACGATAGGGAGTACATGCCCCGATGGGTTCTTTGCTGATATTGGCCAGTGAGCAGCAACGCGTAGTTCTCCTTATTGAAATGTGCACGCTGATACTCGAATCCTGACTCATCGCGTTCAATGCCAGTCCGTGACCAAGTCTCAGGCGTTCTACCGCAGTCCCAGCGGTCCATCCGCCGGTAATCTGCACCCCACACGATTCTAAAGCTCGGCCTCGACGCGGAAGTTTCAACTGGTTTCATGTTGTCTCGGGCCTTGCCGAATTTTTGTGGACGACTTGTGATATACCTCCACACTTCACAAAAACTCGACATGCGTCGTATTCGTTCTATTGGTACTTGTAGCACAATAATGCATGCAGGCGTGTCTGTTTTCCAGACTCTCTCATCGTGACTTGGCTACGGACTCTTGTGATCCTTTCCGCATGGCTCGAGATAGATTGGTGAGCTGGTATAGACTCTTTTGCGTTGAGTGGAACTGACGATCAAGTCAATGACTAGGAAATATCACGACAATGGAGTAGATACCCCCGTGTCTGAGTCTACTCCGTCTACCATTCCAATCCCACGGTAAACACAATGAATGACACCAGCACAGTCGATTGGGGGTGAGCGCCCAGTGCTGCATGCTAGTGCACTTGATATCTCGCAGCGGGGGGCGATGCCCTAGAACGGTGGTATTGCGTTCTTAGAAGAATTTGCCCGCTGACTGGACGAGTCGTCCATGCTGCCACCGTGCCTGTGGTGTAGTTATCAGGCTTCCACCGTTCTACATAGGAAGCTCGAACGTTCTGAAAGCGTAGGGTACCCGCCCGCTCAGAAGGTATATAAGGGTACGGATACGCACCTACTTTCCTCAGGTTGCAATCGCATCTACTCGAAGTTCTAGCATCAGCATCGAACATCATCACTAGTCCTTACAATGAAGTTCTCCTTCGCCGTCGTTGCCTCCCTCTTCATCGCAGCTCAGGCTGTTGCTCTCCCCGCCGAGGTCAAGGAGGTCGAGGCTGCTGATGTATGTATACTCACTCAGCAAATCCATTGCGCTTTACTGACAGTCAATTTATTTAGGCCGCTCCTCGTTGCCCCAACTCCTGGAACGCCGTACCTTTGTACCGTGCCTTCAGCCGCTCGGTCACCGACCACTTCTACACAACCAACGCAGTTGAGGTTCAGAACGCCGGCGGCTACGAGACCGAGGGCAAGGCTGGCCGTGTTTTCCCCAGCCCGGCCCATTCAACTGTTCCATTCTACCGCCTCTACAACCCGTCCCGCCCCAACCACTTTTACACCACCAACCAGTTGGAAGCCAATAATGCCGCCAACACACTCGGCTACACACACGAGGGCGTTGCTGGTTACATCTTCAGCACTCAAACTTGCGGGGCCGTCCCATTGTATCGTCTGTACCACGGTGGCTCCGTCGACCACTTCTACACCACCAACTGGAACGAACGCAATAACGCCATCACGAACCTCGGCTACTCGGACGAGGGTGTTGCTGGATACATCCTCCAGTAAATGCAGATTACCCCAAAAGCCAGTAAGCGTGAATCCAGCTATCTTGCCAACAATCATTCTAATATTTTGTTGTAGAGCCAAGCACATTCATTTGGGATCACGGGTGGTAGTTCATAGTTCCTTTGTTTGATATAAATTATGCATGCCTATGAATATCAAAACTTCTGCTCCATATCCTACTAGTGCCTCTTAGTCTTGAATTTGGAAGAGCTACTGGCTTGCAAATAGTGGCTACTAGCGCCCCTATTGAGCTTCTTAGCGAGTGACAATGGTCCTTACGTAAGCACAATGGGCCATTCCAAGCGAGAGCGAACCTGCGGAGAAGTTTCCCAGAACTTGATGTTGATATTCACCAGGTCGTTCTCCTCAACCTGACTATCATCACGCTCTTTTCCTCCTCCTCCTCCTCTCCTCCTCCTCCTCGTTCTCTCTGGTATTTAACGGTCTACTATCTAACGACGCCGACGGCCCTTTACTTTGCCATCAATGGCCCAAGCCGTATATGACGAACATCCTCTTCAGATGTACCTGAACGGTGAGTCGGCCTTGCACTTGCAGCGTATTTGGCGGGTGCTCAAGGTCACGGTAGAACTCGGTGAAGCTTCCAAGTTGATGCCTGGGGGATCTGCCGACTTTCTCCCGCAAGACGACGAGTTTGACGCGCTCAGTGACGAGCATACTGCAGTACCGCGGGAGCCATCATGGATACTGGACATCTTCGAAGTGAGTTTCAACTGCACTCGCGGTCTATTACATAGGCTAGGGAGATTAGCAACAGTTCTATTCGTGATGGTCGACCCAATTTGGAGCGGAAAGCTAAATGTACTGCAGATCCTTAGCAACCTCTTCACGACGCGTTTTTCTCAGCAACCCAGTCCGTTCATCGAGCGTTTCAAGTACGATGTGATCTCCTCTTCCCTTCTATCATCATCTCTATCTGCCTCTCGCCGACCCTCTTCTCCTTGCATCCCAGGCCAGCTCAGAAGCAAGAGCCGGTCGCGTAGCTTGGACTACAATCAACCTCCTCTGCCTCAGGACGCTAACATCAAGACAAACCAATACTCGGATGTAACGACCCGATACAACCACGGACTCTTAGTGTTGGCAGTGGCGGCGTTCGGTGCGGGGTTCTACTTGTTGTCGGCGTTGGTGTTTGGGGCTGCTTACATACAAGCAACCTCGGAGGGGACACAGAGACACGACATGGCACCAGTGAGTATTCAGTCTGCCGTCCTAGCTCAGACAGGTCTAAGTCGCCAAACCAAGACCATGCAAAGTCTGGAAGAGCTCATTAGCGCCAGCGATGTATGGGATTCCGTTATCCATGATGCAATCCACCAGCTCGAGAATGAAGAACGAAGGTAAGAACCCTTGAAACTTCTCTTGGTTTTTGCGTCCTGAAAATCACGCCCAGTGTATTCTATGGCCCAACTACGCCGTCCTCTCCTTTATCACACCTCCGCGTTGCCCTCAACTCCTCGTTACATACTACCCAATCCCAATGCGACAATATACGACAACTTTTATCCGCGTTAACCTCGCCCTCGGAGTTACCTCAACTTTCCGAGATGTACGCTCCCCCCTCACCGACCAAGACTTCATACGACCTCGAACCTTCTAGCCCGCGTCCCCTCTCCCTCTCAACATCCCAGTCACCATCAAGGCAGCGTACAGTAGCCGGCGGTTACAATAAGCGATCCACGTGGAACGGTTCTTACGCTTCCTTGGCAGTAGCTGGAAGCCCGCCTATGCCCTCACGACGTCGAGAGAAACGGAGATCTGATTTGTCAACCCTTCTCAAGTCATCGCTCTCTTCAACCAAGAGCTTCAGTGCGCCTACTACACCTTCAACTTCTGGTGCTACTCTTGCAGGTGTTAAGGAGGAGGACTCGGATGCTGAAGCTGAGAATGAGGCTTCGAGTAGTTACATACCATTCGGTGTTGCCGCTCTTGATCTGCGGCGGAAACGACAATCCGCTGGCATGGAAGCTCTGGGCTTGTCGTCTAAACGCTCATCGCCCTCAATCATGGCATCAGGGTCTCATTTCACCTCCCCTCACACCAACCGCCACCCCCTTTCCATCTCCGCCCTCAATCTCGCCCTTCAAGCCGCACTATCATCTAAGCGATATACATGTTCTTATCTCTTGGCTCTACGTTTCTTGGATGAAGAAGACGAAGCCTATTGGGAGAATGTACGCTCTGTGATGGGTCTGCTGGCATCTACCTTTGCCGATGCGTCCGCCCGGTTGTCAGAGTCCCTGGATGAAGCAGAGGCACGCCGAGTCAAAGACCAGACACCAACTCCTGAGACCCAGTCACGACGGACTAGTTACAATCCTGAAGATATATTGTCTGAAGGTCTATACAAATCTTCCGTGTCGTCGAGTACTGGTCCAAGTACCCCGACGTTCGCTCCTATGCCGAGTCAGCTATCGAGATTTGCACTTCACGTTGAAGCTATCTCCACCGCTTTAACTGACGCTCGCGAATATCTTTTGCAAACGGTTACTACACTTCGGGAAGCGCCTCCTAATACCCAAGTTCCCCATCCGTCGCCTGACGATCCACAAGGTCTTGCTGGCCTTGCTTCTCTTCAATCATACGAACGACTTCGCAGGGAGCTCGGCCTAGCGCTTCGCGAATGCGAAAGAGGTCGAGAGCGTTTGCTTGACATTGTTTCCCCTCACAAGCGCGCAGAGGATCAGGAAGAACTTCCAGCCCTCGGTCAAGATCACGGTAGTGATTCTGATAAGGCTGAATCCTCTTTTCAGGTCGATGACGAAACCCATGTTATGTCCCTTGACCTGGCCATCCTGTCCCCTGACAATGGGGAGCCAGAACCCACAGGTATGGACGATGCAACTGCTCATCTGCTGTTGTCGACGTCTGCGCAACATCTCCCTCCGATTGGGGCCGAAGAGGTATTCGAGAGTGACAGCGGCAGCATGCCCGTGTTTACTCGAGATCGGCCCAAGCTCTCCCGCGAGGAACGAATTAAACTCATGAAAGAGAAGAGGGAAAGCAGTGGTGGGAAGCTTGGAGTCGGTCTAGCCATGAGCGTCGATAGTGACGAAAGCGGCGTGGAAAAATGGGGTCCTACCGGCGATGTTGTACAGGAACTCAAGGATGTGATCTGGAAGGTTGGCGAGAAACGACGTAAAATGGTGGCGCCCGAAACTACCGAGGCCCTGTCGCCACAACCACCACCCGCTACATCAATACCCATGCACACCGAGTTCGAAATCGAATCTTCATGATGTGTTCTGGCCGTTACCCCTTTCTCTTCTTGTGGATACATATACTTACTCCTAGAGGTACATTAACTTTTTCTAAAACCGTGGTTTACGCCAAGCGACAGGCGAGTGGTCGTCATCATTATTGCTATCTTACCTTCCTTTCCCAGTACCAGTTGATGTCATGCTTTCAACGCACGCGATTATTTATTGGTGTCAGTGATCAATGTTAAGCCCAGGCTTTCAAACCTCAGTAACGATCTTGATAAACGCCTAATTGAGCAAGTCCATCTGGGCAACGAGCTGTGGTGTCTTTTCTTTCTCCGTGTGTTACCGAAGCCGATGATTCTCACCGTAGGCGTTCTTGCCCTTCCATCGAGTTGTTCGGACAAATGTCGGAGCAAGTTTGTTGATGAAACATTCCAGCTTTGTGCGCGCCGTCGACATGGTCCGATGATGCATCTTAGCATCATGGTTGGGGTTACCCATCAAGGCCTAAGGACATCAACCTCCGTCAGCCATTTGTCATATCCTCACTGGTCACCGGCAGGCAAACTTGACCACTTCCACGGAGAAGCACCGTGCCGTGCGTGTTTTTAAGACCGCTTTATGGATCGAATAATCTTCTCGCATCAGGCTAGAGCAGACCCCGAATAGTCGGAATTTCGCGTCTACTGGGAGTGCAGTACACATTCCACATATCCATCACCATCTCGCGACAGATGTTTGCGCTGATATCAAGGTCGATTAGTTCGTTCAACCGGGATACAGCTTATCCCTGGGATGCAACTCTAGACCTCCGAACCTTCAGATACGTTGCGGTGCCGCAAATTCGGCTAGGTCTCGTCGGGGGTATTCATGGCCAAAGTCGAACCTGTTCACATCGCATGTTATACTAGGGCGGCGATTATCTGTAGGGATTTTAATAATGAACTGTGGGTATCGAGCGTGGCTCGGCTCGATAAATGGGAAAGTGGAGGGCAACCTGAAACAAGTGCGAAGTGCTCCCCACCCCAAATCCACCCCAGGCTTGAAAGACGATCATGAATAAGACATATGTGGGCACAGCCGAGCCCGTCGTTCAAGGGATAGAGTCGTTCCTGGGTCAAGGTCCCCGTTAAGTTATGCCCGGGAGTCAGCATCCCCAGACTACTGTGATTACAAGGATGCCTAACGTACACTGGCATCCTTGTTATAGGCGTAGAGAGTCCGATTTTTGCGTATAAAAGGCGAGTAAACCTGCGCGTACTGCAATCCAACTTACTCATACTAGATTTCCTGCTTACCCAGTGTTCAGTATGCAATTTAAACTCGCTTCGATGCTTGCACTTGTAAGCATCGCCACCCTCACAATGGCTCAAGATTGCAGCGGGGCACCATGGACTCTCAATGCGCCGTGTAGCTCTACGGTCGGGGGGACTTCCCTATGTAGCTACCTGTGTAGTCATGGCTGTCCGGGTCAGCAATCTACTGGCTGTGTCGATATAACTCGTACGTTGGGCTACTAGCCTTGTAACGTCGTTGCTGATTGTCCCGAATACTTACAGCTCCCTCCTCCACCACGGTTCCCCAGTCTGAGTGTACTTGCTCAGGACCAATTTAGTGTGAGAGATCCCGCCGCACACGTTCTCTCTCATGTCGTTCTGTTAGTCTCTTCCCCGTGCTGGTGAAGATTTGAATCCTACTCACGATCTCCATCGTTCTTAGAAACCCACGCCACTAGGTACACAGAAGCTCTTGGAATACATGAACAATTTTCAGTCTTCTCCGCTTTTGCTTTCACTTGCTGTTGGTCGATGCATGCTATGATAGGTCAGTATCTATAAGTAAGGGTTCTAATGGAGCAGTACATCGGGCTCGATTGCAGCTGAGTACATGGCCTTTCGGCCCAAAGTTCCCTATCAGCGCTGAGCGTCGGCTTCGACCAGCAAGAACGTCGTTTATTTTGGGTAGGTGTGAGCACATCTATATATGCTACTACATTCCCCACCGACTCCCATCTGATCAGCCATCCTTGTTCAAACGCGAACCCCCGTCAGACCCATCGTGGAAACTGATACTTCTGCCTGCAAATCATGCCCTGCGTTTGACCTTGCCACGACAACCCCAATTATGTGACCTAAACGATCATCGTCGACGCGAATTCATAGCGACACCCAAGTTAAGGGTGCTCGTTGCGCTATATCCTGACTTATATGTATACCGATAGGTTATGTATCAGCACTTTACATTTGATCGGACACCTTCCGCATCTTTCCAGCCGATCTTCCTCGTTTATGTGGCTTCTAAGGGACTTCTCCGAGTATTCCCTCGTTCATATATTTCCCGCTCCATCTTCTTCTCACAATTTCTTCTTAGGAATACGTCATTCGAGGGGGGAAATCAGTTTAGACCAGCTCTTTGCTTTCATCCATCATCCACTCCCGAATAGAGTTGAACAGCAATCTGATACTCTGCTGAGTATTATATCGGGAGTTCGGCGCATTGTTTCTGGACGTTGGCCACCTAAAGCGAGTCGCCTATCGCAGTTGTTGCCAGTCGGCTCCCCCACGAACGTCCCACGAACTACTGGTCATGTAGTTGGATGTCCATTCAGCTTGTGACGTTCCAATACTGACAACAGTGCAATATTCTTCGGTGAGCATCCTCCCACGTGTTTGGACACACCGATTTCGCATGGACACAAGAAGGGTGACACGAATGATAATCTCATCTACTCCAACGTTCACAGGAGGTCAACGGACTATGGCAAAAATATGTGCTTTCACAGGGCTCCAGCGAGGAAGGCTGAAATTCTTCCGTTTCTTTCTCCGGTCCGTCGCCTTCTCTCCACCCATGTACTACCCGGTTGTGCTGATTAACCAATCTACAATGTCATGGCGGCTCTACAGTAGTACCGCCATAGTACTGGGCTGCACTGGTGCTATACCGGCTCTATAAAGCCTGTGGGCTAGGGACAACAATCTCCAGCGAGTCAGCACCCACTTTCAACCAAAGCCCACCTTCAGAGCAACATGCAACTTTCATACGTCTTCGCCTCTCTCGTCCTCGCTGCCTCTGCATATGCCCAAGCGAGTGTGTGCGCTGCAGGCATCAGCCAGGCAGATTCCACGTTGGCAGGTATTGCAGGTTTCGTAGCTTTCGTTGAGGGCCTCCCTGCCGTCAGCGGACTCAGCGATGCCGGTAGCATCACAGTGCCTGCTGTGCCAACCAGCGTCTGCGAATTAACGGGTGGCACTGGCACTGGTCAGTCCTGATTTTCCGCAGTAAAAAGGATCTAATCGCTTCCTTCATATTATAGATGGAGCCTGCGCTTGCCCCGAGGCGTGAATATGTCTAACAGCAATCAACCCAACCAGATATAGTACGTGTAGGCCTTGTCAACTGCTTTCTAGATAATTCTAACTGACCCTTGGTCTACATCATCAGACCGAGATTTCCCAATATGATTCCAAGAATAAATGGTACATTTGTTGGTTCGTGGCTCAAAGTTGGAGTATGAATATAAATTGTCGACTTGGATATGTATTTGTCGATGAGATAGGTCTCTGAGTACACGGCGAGAGCACAGGTAGCCACTACAGTTTTGAAATATGGTCAAAACTAATCTTCGCAGCAATGATAAAACCCTGCATCCAGGGAGTATTCCGTCCAACGCGCTGTCAGTTGCTGTTTCAACGGAGAAGTAAGTCAAGGTGATGCTCGCGGAGATTCAAATAATTCCACCGTCTTGGCACTCGCCGGCATGAAGGAACAGGAATGAACAGACACGCAAGAACATCTCCCATTGCATAGTAATCATACAAACTCGACAAGATCACAGAATTTATATATGGGTTTATTTCGATTTTCGTATATCACCTTGTCGACGAATTGGAACCGGACCGGGAAGCCCATGGCTGCTTCTAAGAGAGATCGTTAGTGTTTATCCAACGGATGCGGTGGAGCTGAAAATCTCATTTACAAGTAAGTCCATTTAGGCAGAGCAAGAGCAGGCTCCATCTGTCAAAGTGAATCAGTTGTTGAACATGAATTTGTTACGCTTCCACTTACTAACTGCGATTCCTCCACTCAACTCGCAGAGGTTGTTGGGAACCTTCATGGCGTTGAGGGTGCCCAACAAGCCACCAAGGTTCAAGCCGGGGAGGAGCGTGCCAATCAAGGGCAAGCCGTTCAGAATGCCAAGGATACCAGTGAGCTGGCTGATAATGTCGAGGATGCCGCCGAGGCCTGGGTTCGTAGCGGTTGCGTCAAACCCGCAAACAGTCGTTTCTGCGAAGACGGCAGCAGCGAGGACGATGGGAGCGAAGAGGGCGGTGAAGCGCATGTTTACTGAGTATGACTGATATATGAGCTCGGTTTGCTTCAACTGGTAAGTTGCTGAGGATACTTCGACTGCTATCCTTGCTTTTATACGTAGAGGACCACAGTATTCTTTGTATCCGGCGCGGCGTTATGGGAAAGGAAGAAGAGGTACTTGCGTAAGTTTCGCAACTCGCTGTCAAGCGTGGTTTTCCCGGATGATTCTTGACCCCACTCATAAGGCGACAAGTCGAGAGTAGACGTGAAGGTTTCTGGTTCTACCGACGCTTCTGATGTTACAGATAGGGAGTTGGACCAATGGGAGCAAGTAGACCAGCAGTGTCCGTACCAGGTATTTCCAGAGGCTTCAAATCGGATCACAGGAGATGACAATGGCCGTGACAATGCCATGCGTCCTCAATGCAGGTTTCTCAGTCAAAGTGATTCGGCCAACGAGGACAACGAGTTCTTGATGTTTCTTCGAAGATGCGGCTTTCGGCTTCACGTAAATCAAGAGAACTAGGACCAGTCCATCGTGCTGAAAGCATGAATGATGAAGCACTAGTACACGCATCCCGCCAGAGGTAGAGGTTTATTGAGGAGGCCAGTGTTTAGTCGGCTAGCTAGTCAAGGCACAGTGATCGCGGAGAACTCTGTGTTCTTAGTGTTCAGTCATCAGAAGCGAGAACTATAGAACCGATGATAGTAATTTGTTCCTGATTCGATACCGCAGTGTGGTCAACGTTGTATTTTGAGCAGCGTTGATCGTACAATGACAGGGGGATGTCGTAAGATCGGAGCGTGACTAACCCACCTAACGCTTCGCGGAGACAGTCGCACCGAGTATCATTTGAGGCATCCGCGGCCAGCTTGTACCTCGCGCCCTGGGACGAGCAACACATTTTAATGTAGGGTCCTGTAACTGATAGAGAAGCGCTAATCTTCCTGAAAGCCTTCATTAAGAACGTAGACCGGTTGATGAGTTCTACATGATCGCCTTCGGATACGGGAGCTTCGATCTAAGGGAAAACAAAACGGGTGAAGTCATGTTGTTTGTTGCAGAGCACCCACAAGGTTTCGGAACACGGTTGGAGCATGGAAGAAAGGCAATCGCTGGAGGCAGGCGATGTCATAACCGTGGAAGTCTCTGGGAGAGCTATTCTACCAGTGATTTTGAGGAGAGTTTCCCGACGTCGCTAATTAATCAATCGTTCGGGTTCACATGGGTGACATGCCTCCTAGGGAGACAGCTGCCGTTTGCCACGTCGAGAGGAGTAGTCGCCAGAGTAAAGCTTGCAGGCCGCCAGCCGCACAGTGTGCAGTTATCGAAGAGCCCAGAGGTTAAGTCTACGCCATGGGGTGAAAGTGAATCGTCAAGGTTGCCCGACACACTGCCCGGTACCAGCTGGAGACGAGTGAGAACAAGAACCAAAGCTTGTGAACTATTTCATTTCTGTAGCTGCAATGTGGCTGACATGATATTTTCAAAATCATGTCTAGAGCACCTGGGCGCGTCGCGACTCCGCGGAGACAGAAAACATACGTAAGCCCACACAGCCAGCTTGCACCGCGTATCGTATATGGGTAAATGGCTGAGAAAGTACGGGATTGTCTTCTTGTATCCACCGCGAGGTTGCACTCACGCCCTGCCAGGGTATCAAATCCATGTCGGAAATGCGTGACGATGCAGCGTGCAGGAGGGTAATTTCGGAGTGTTTTCTGGTCCCAATTTGGCATGTAGAAGAGATAATTGCACAGCCCACCGTAAATTACGCGAGCGTTCCGGGGTGAATGCGAGTCGAAAGGACCTCATTGGTCCAGATGGCTCGCAACGGCAAAGCGCGGCCAAACTTCTTCCGGTTGGAGAGCATCCACGTATTGTCCAAGAGTACACGTCCGGAAGTCCAAGCTCAACAGCTTTGAGAAGCTTGCGCGGAGAGGCAGGCAGCAGTGAAATAACAGCACCGAAGGCTTCGTGCTTGAAGGAAGGAGGAGTTCAACCTAGTTGATGTTCAACCGAATAGAAGACCGCGACTGGATCCGGACAGACGCCTAAATATGATACCACGTGGACTCGCTGAGATTGAAAGCCTTGGGATCAGCCGGTGGAAACTCCTGTCAGAGTCCAGGCTCCTAGAACCAGCCACTCGTACGATTTTTTCAAGCACGTGACGCGCGCTAAGGCGCGATGTAAACAAGTACATCGTCAAGCGAGCTTGAAACTCTCGACAGAGCGGCTGGCAAAATATGTCGCCGAGACCTCCGAATCTCTTCCCATGCCCTTTGCCGAGAACCTGAGTCACTTGTGACAGCTATGCCTCGGCAGACTACGGCAGACAGTTTATGTCCTTGTTGGGATAAATCACGCGTTGTTAGCATATGCCTCCTAGCCTCTCCTAGCTCTATTAGGGTACTTCTGCTGGCGAGCCGACGAAACCGTTCCAACTCTTCTCGACGGTAGTCTTGTGTCATCGTCGAGTGGAAGTGTTTCACTCGGCTCTTATTGATGGTACTGAGCCGCTTTCGCAGGGCATCCCGCGCCGCCTCTGCTTCTTTCATATTATCGAAGAAAACAATGAACTTCTCGGGTGCGTCATTGCAATACGGTTTGCCTGGCAAGAGGAACTCAAGGTCCCTGTAGCTGTTGGCAGCATAGACTAACGGTCGCACTAGTAGAGCGACTTCTGGCCGGTCATTCGATTGCAATATGTATCGTGTTTCGTCGTCTCGAAGCCGGAGTATGCTCGCAATATCTGCAAGGATGGATTTTGGCAACGTAGCAGACGCAACATAGAACGGAATCTTCTCGACTGATCGAATCGTGTGTCGGAGAGCACCCAGGCGAGAATAATCTTTCCGGAACCTCCCCCATTCACTAATACAATGTCCCTCATCGAAGACGATGTGTAGTATCAACGACGCGAATTTCGGATCCTCAAGAAGCACCGTAGCCTCGTCACTGCCCATTAAGATCTCGGGGTTGATGATGACGACGTCGAAGTGATGGGTCTTGATGTCCTGTCCATCGTGGCACATCTTAGTAAAGAAAATAGTAAGTAATAAATCCCTCACCTTCCATAATGAAGCTGAATTGTTCTCGCTATTGACTGCCACAGCTCGGATATGAGCTAATGCCAGCTCGTTCACATTCTGCTGGCCTAGCAAGTTCAACGGAGTAACGACGATCATAATCTTCTTCAATCCATCCGCCTGCGCCATGATCAGAGGAATCCAGAAGGACAGAGTCTTTCCAGACCCTGTTGGTGCGCAGGCAACGACGTCTTTCCGGTCACAGTAGATGGCCATTGCTACTTGGATTTGAAACAAGCATGCCCGCTTGTTAAAGTACCTCGACGTGAGCTCGCGTACGGCTTCGATACTCCAGACGCGTCGCGAGTCGGACATGTACCATATAATTTAATTAATTTCGGTCTCAGTAAAATTACTACTTCAGGTTTTATTGATTGTGGGAAGTTTAATTAAATAAGCAAATAAGCATCAACTGATGTCACTCCAGACGAGAGGCATGGGAAGAGATTCGGAGGTCTCGGCGACATATTTTGCCAGCCGCTCTGTCGAGAGTTTCAAGCTCGCTTGACGATGTACTTGTTTACATCGCGCCTTAGCGCGCGTCACGTGCTTGAAAAAATCGTACGAGTGGCTGGTTCTAGGAGCCTGGTCAGAGTCCTGAAGCTTTGAGGTTCGACCACTTTCCTACTGCCCACTTAACTAGCATACTGATAGGCGAGGAGCTCGATACACCCTCTTCAACAGTGGAGGAGCCGCCGCTGTCAACGAAAGTCTTGCAGTCACCCGATCTCCTTTGCCTTCAATCCTTAGCGCTGGGACGTACTGGCGACTGGAGTTAAGTTTCTGTGGGCCGTGGCATTCACCTTAGTTAAGGGCCCGGTCTGCTCGTCGAGATGTCAGTCCCTCGGGCCTGGGGTTGGCGGAGATTGAACTTGACAAAACCTAGCGCTGGAGTCTGCTCAGGGCGCTTGGGAATCGTCACAAATAAGTCACAGACATCATGGTGGGAAAGCGGCAATAGATACAAAGTAAATACATGCAAACTTCTGCTTTCGGTATTTCTTGTATTTCTTGTCGGCGACCTGAAGTATCCCGGCTCAGTAGGTGATATACTAGTCCAAAAGAGTTTAACATGTGGTACGTTGGTTTAGCGGTTTGCGCGCTTGAGTACTACTTTTTAGCACGGAAAGGTTGCGGGTTCGAGCCACGGATTGTCCTTTTTTCACTTCTTCGTCCTGCTATCTCACCACTAACATTCATTAATAAATAAACACCACAAGCTGTAGTACTGTTTATTGGAGGGAATAGATAATGCAGTTGATACAAGGTGCCACCAGGTATATTAACGCTGACATAATAATGTGACAGGAAGGTCCTAACCCACCCGCAAACCCCCTGGTACAGCAGACCAAACTGTCGGTTTGGAGTAGGTTTGGGCCAGGTTTGGTCCAACCGTGGGAGCCAAATTTGGCAGGTAGGGACTAACATCTCGACGAGCAGACCGGGCCCTAAAAGATCGAGGCTAACGCGGCGCGTGCGCTTACATGATTGTACAGGCCGTAGCCCACCCCTAAGCTATGGCCTTCTGATGCTGGCGACTTCGTCGTATACGCCGCCGACGTCTCCAGCTTCTTCATAGAATGCGCACGACTTCCATACTCCCCCCACAAATGAACCCAGGAGGTTCGATGCTCCAAGCATGACGCTTTCTCTGGGGGAATCACACCATTCGAGCGTTCCCCAGGGGTCACCCGGACTGTCTCTCCGGTACTGTCTCTAATAGAGATACATGTTCGCGAAAGGGTGGTACACATACGCCTAACTTGGGTTGAGACTTGAATAGCCTCGACTTCTAGTTGAAGTTTAAGAGACCGTTTCATGGATCAAAGCCTCATCTACCCATCATCTATCGTCGTTTCTGACGAGTGGTGGGCTTCGAGTCGATTATCACTATCAGGCGATATGGGCTTCGGGCGTCCCTGATATTGGCAGCATCGTTAAGTATAAGTAGGGCACGATTGGATGTCTCTCTTCAGCCTGACCTGGTCCTTTCGAAGTATCCCTCGACTACCCCAATGTTTCTCGCATCTCTAGTAACACTCGCTACTCTCTGTGTGTCTTACGCACAAGCAGATGCCGGGCCTGTTGCATGCAGCCTGGCCGAGACCCCAAATATCCCTGTTCCCGTTCCGACGGCCGTTTTACTGGCGGCCTTGCCTTGCGTCCCCACCGCCCTCCCCGCCCTCCCTTCCCTCGGCATAGTCAACATCCAACAGACCGCATGCGCTACTGGTCAGGTTGACTGCAAATACGAGTGTAGTGGCGGTGAGTAATAGATTGTGTATTCATGTTCCTTCCGTTGATGGTCTTTGGGTTGGTAGCTAAGCCTAGCGCGCTCCATGCTTGCTTCAGTGCTTCAGGTCTTTCAGGTCTGCCTAGGGTTTGATTGAATAGTACGTTCCGTAGAACTTGCTCTCTGCGGACCATGCATTGACTTTCTCCTCCGGCCCGCAGCATACGGACGAATCCCGAGTTTCAGAAGTTGAACCAAGTACTTTTGGACATTTAAGTGTTACCCCTGAAGATGCCGCTTCGACGACATGTACTCCCTCCAATAACAGTTGTGTAGTTTGTTTCAAATTTCACACGGTTTGTTTCAGTTACTCGACTTCGGATAACGGATAATACAGTTTGGCAACCCTGTTTCTCGAAGAAACCCCTTCAAATAACCTTCTTCAAAGTACGTAGAAACTCGGGTGTCTTGTTCGGCGGGACCTTATTCATTCCGGCCGGTGGGGGAAGCGGAGACCGCCCATCTGTGATCGAAGTAGAGAGCGTACAAACAGTAACGCCGAACAGTAACTCATCCCAGAGCAAAGGACGGGGTAGGCGGCCTATCTACCAGCCCAGTGAATCCCTGCTGGAACCGTTTGTACGGGGAGTAACTGACTCACTGAATGTGCCACGCCTGGCACCGTCCCATCTACTTCCATCCTGTTTCACATCTCTCAAAGAGCAGCGAGTGGCGTTAAGTGCTTATGAGTGCCATTATGAATCAGTTAAAGACGGGCTTCGATAGGGTACGTGGTGTCGTTGTTATCCATCGACTTCACGTTCAACAAGGTTCATCAAAAGGTCAGGCTTTTACGTCGTCCAGGCACATGGCATAAGCTCAACCACGAGTTGCGCTCCTGATCGTTCCCATCCGTTTATAGGAAGCTCATTGCCTTGTGGAGATGATACGCTTCAAAGTTTGAAACCACTCGATTACGATCGCACTTTGATCAGGTTGGTATACCGGGCGTGTCAGGAGAGGGCAGCGCCCAGCCTTGACGCGCTCAGTCCGCTTCAACCCAATTCGAACGTGCAATGGTGGCAGGCGGGATTGGGCTCCATTTCAACAGTCAAGGTAGGTTAATTCCTGACAGCGGCGACAATTTGATGAATCACCGCACTTGAATGATTGTGATGATGGAGAGCCAGAGTTGATGAAGAGTTCAACTCATCGCCGGTGTTGGCTCAACCACAATGGATTGGAAGTTGTATTGCCCTTCGAGTCTGTTCGTGATTTTTTGGGCTTGGAAAAACCTGATGGCCAGGTACGCGATACGCATGATGAAAGAAAGCACGGACTCGGACACGGTCACCATGTGGCAACCAGACAGCAAAAAGGAACTGTGATCTTGCAGTCCAATTTCCCACGCTCCGTTTCCTCCCCTCCTCATCTGCTCCTCCTCGTCCTCCTCATCCAGGAGACATTACATTCGTTTAGACTCACATTCTTTTTGAAATTTACGCCTTAGCGGGACCATATGCTAGCCTAGTGCAATGGCGTATCATCAAGATTTCACCAAGAAGCGTGCCTCGCACAATCGCCTTCTAGCTCGACAAGAATCTAGCACCCCCGCTCTCCCAGTGAGCAGCTCGCCGCCAACTAATCCCCCTGAAGAACCTTCTCCGACCCCGACGCCGCCGGCACCTGCGCCTCCCCCACCAAGCTGTAAGTAACGTCGAATTGTATCTGATGTTCGTATGACTGGCTTACACATCCCTTAACAGCTATACCCCCGTCTTCTCGCGTCACCCCTACCCCCACACCCCCAGCAAACAATAACAACAACAACCAGGAATCTTCCAGAGCCAGACCATCTTCTACCACCACTCCAAATGTGACTACACCCTCAACGACTGCGACGTCCGCATCAACGACGACTTCCTCCAGCAGCGTCGAGACCACCGAATCCAGCAGCAGCAGCGTTTCTTCTACCACGGTCAGCTCTTCGACCACTGGCATTGTGCGTAGTCTGTTTATACAATCCTACATATTCCTAATATCAATCCTCACAGACGACATTGCCTCTTGCTTCGCCAGCTACCCGCCAGACAAGCAGCTTCAGTACTCTTCCGCGAACCACCTTTGTGAACACCGCTAGTATTTCCAGTGCGACTTCTTCCGTCACCCCAGAAGCTTCGGGTGCCCTCAATACTGGTGCGATTGTCGGAGGCATTGCAGGAGGCCTCGTTGGTATAGGCCTGCTTGTTGTTTTGGTCATGTTCCTTATGGTCAGTAATCTTCTCGCCTTTGTTATGAGGATGTGCTGACGCTCGGTGCAGCGACGTTTACGCAGGCGATCTTATGACGACGATCAATTCGATTCGGTCACTTTCCGCCGCTCTGCTGTTCTTCTTGATGACGGCGCTTCCAAGGGCGACAACTACGACACCTTCAATCCTCGCCCGCCCAGCATGATCCAGCGTAAACTCGACAATCAGAACGTTGCCCCATCCCCTGTTCCTCAAGGCACTTACGCAAACTACGACAATTACGGGTATGGCGCACAAGATTACGCTCAGCAGGGACAAGGATACAATGGCGGGTATAACAACGGCTACAACAACGGCTACACGCAGAACTATGCCAATAATGTGTCTGATCATGGCCATAGCGGTTATACGCCTCCCCATCCCTATGCTCAAGATCCAGTCCCCTCGAGTAACCCCTACAACGGTGGCTTGGCTGTTCCTGCAGCTCGCGCTACCACTCGTACTGGCGCTCCCCGAGATTCCAGGGTGATATCCAGAGTTGACGACGAAGATGTATACGGAGGCATTTGATCCAACCCTCCGAAAATGGCTTGACGACCTCAAATTTACACAGCGGCACCTTCCAATCTGAATTATCCCCCCTTCCCCCTGGCATATCACCCTGTGTACGCGCTTATCCCCATTTCCGCTGGCAACATTTCTATATACCAAACCATGTCACTTGATGTGTT